TGCTAAAGCCCCTTGAAATAAATGTTGCAAATTTCTTTCCAGATGGTCATTTGTATTTTGACTCTGGCAATGCTTTTTCCACCTAGAAAATTTAATTTGTATGTAGTTGGATTTTTCATCTAACTTATGTGGCTTTTAGCTTTTGTTTCATTATAAATTAACAAAAATGTGGGGATAACAAAAATGTAGAAGTGTGGGGATAACCCATCTTTCCCCATTGAAATGTCACCTTTGCCATATGATAAATTTCTGCGTGTATTTGGGTCCACTGGGGTCTGTTCTGTTGTACTCCTCTTTTCATAAGCCGGTCTCACCCAGGTCTCTAAACTAATGATGTTAGGATTTGAAGTGACCCATGAAACACATTGCCAGCCTGTTTCCACAAGTCTCCTCTACCAGACAGGAGACACAGGGTTCTGACAGATGATGAAACACCAGTTTTGCTGTTGTCTGGGGCGTCCTGACATTTCTCTCCTGAGGAGCCAGCAGACCAACCCACTGACGTGGGGCAGGAAGGGAAGTGTGAGTCCTGGGGACTGGCCCCTGGAAGAGAGAAAGCCTGGAATGGACTCCTTTCTTGGAGGGTGGAGGGAAGGATGGAAGTGTCAGTAGAAAAGCAGTGTTCCTCCAGTGCCCTCATTCTCTCTCGCAGGGAGTGTCTGTCTCTCCCCTTGCCCCATCATGCCAGGGGGCTGACAGTGGAAGTCCCTACCTGACACTGGGCAGGACCAGTCTGCCTGAGACTCTTCCTCTCAGCACTGTCCTGGTTATCCGTGCATGCTCCTTATCAACTCCAGAAGCATCTTCCCACCTAAAAAACATACCTTGTAGATATTATTATTGGAACGGTAGTAAATATAGGGATTACTTTAGGGAGACTTGATGTTTAGTTTCTGGATCATTTTATTCAAAAATACTATTATGCAAACTACATATTCCTAACAACCCCCACATTGGCACACTAAAACTGAGATAACAAGAAGCATTTGGGAACAACCAAAACTCTGAATAGCTTTGTAACTAAAGCATTAATAACTGTTATGCCAGATTTCAAAACATTCTAACACAGCTAAAAAAGATGTGCAAAATCCTAATAAAAATGTGGTACATGTAGAACTTTGTTCTTTAAAAAATAAAGGAGACTATGTGACCTGGAACACTGTGCTGCTGGGATGGGCCAAGGTCGCTGCCCTCCTGCCAGGAGCCGGAGCAAGCAGAACAGGCAGATCTACTGAAATACACTGCTGAGGGGAACAGCGGGCAATACAGAAGTTTGCTGTTCCCTGACTGGGGATCCAACTCAGGCCATCGCAGTGGTAGCACTGAGACTTAACATCTAGGCCACCAGGAAGGCCCTTAATGGAGAGGTATCTGATTAGTTTTTCGGCCTATTTTCTGATTGGGTTATTTCTTTTGTTTTTGTAGTTTTATGAGTTCTTTGGGTATCTTCGATATCAGTTGTCAGTTGTATGATGTTCACATATTTTCTTTCATTCAGTAGGGTGTCTTTACATTTAAGGTATGTTTTCTTTTACTATACAGAAGTTTTTTAGTATGATGCAGTCCTTGCTGTTTATGTTCTGTTTTGTTTTCCTTGCTGTTGGGGAGGAATCCCTGAAGGTATTCCTATGTTTTGCCTGTTTTCTTCTATGTATTTTATGGTTTCAGGTTTTATATCCAAGTCTTTGATTTAAGTTGAGTTCATTTTGGTGTATGGTGTGAGATTGTGGTCTAGCTACACTCTTTTTCATGCAGCTGTCCAGTTTTCCCAACACCATTTACTGAAAAGGCTATCTTTGGGGCCTCCCCGGTGGCGCAGCGGTTGAGCGCTGGGTTGCGAAGCTGCCCAAAGCCTCCACGGCTCCAGTTCAATCCCCGGCTGCTTCCCAGCCGCTCCCCGGCCACCGGAGGAGGGTCCCACATGGCGCGCAGACCTCTCCTGCTGCCTGCTGCTCCCCTCAGCAGTGTACTTCGGTCCTTCTGCCTGCTCTGCTCCCCGCTCTGCTCTGGTGAATTCTCTTACCCTCCCGTGCTTGACTGTACCCAGTGCTTGTATAAATAAATGAATAAATCTTTAAAAAAAAAAAAAGGCTATCCCTGTTCCAGTCTGTTTTAGGCTCCTTTGTCATAGAGTAACTGTCCATACAATATGGTTGATTTATTAAATCAGCCTATTCCATTGGTCTTTGTGCCTAGTTTTGTTACAGTACCAGTCTGCTTTAATTATTATGGCTTTATAATATAGTTTGAGGTCTGGAAGTGTGACACCTCCATTTTCTTTCTTCATCAAGATTGCTCTTGCTGTTTGGGGTCTTTTGTGGTTCCATATGCATTTCAGTAGTATTGATCCAGTTCTTTGAAATATGTGATGAATCTGTATATTGCTTTGAGTACAATCACCATTTTGACAACATATCTTCTTCCAATCCGTGAGCAGGGAATATTTTTCCATTTCTTTGTGTCTTCTATTTCTTTCAACAATATCTCGTATTTCTCTTTGTATAGTTAACATCCTTTGTTTGGTTTGCTCCTAGGTATTTTTTTGTTATGTAATTTTAAATGGGATAATTTTCTTAATTTTCTTTTCTATCTCATTGTTCATATATGGGAATGCAACTGATTTGTGTTTATATACCCTACCACTTTGCTAAACTGATTATTTCTCTAAGTATATTATCATGTCATCTGCAAATAACTTTTTCAACTTGGATTCCTTTTATATCTTTCTCTTGTCTAATTGCTCTAGCTAGAACTTCTAATACTATGTTAAATACCAACGGTGAAAGTTGACATTCTTGTCTTGTACTCAACAATTTTTCACTGTTGAGAATATTAGCTAGGGGTTTATTATAACCTGTATGTTTTATTGTGTTTTATTATTGTGACCCATGGGTTTTATTATGCTAAGGTATGTTTTGTTTATCCCGGTTTTCAAGGTTTTTTCCAAAACAAGTGGATGTTGGATCTTATCAAATACATTATAAACATCTATTGATACGATTTTTATCTTTGTATTGATGTGAATTATTGATTTTCAGATGTTAAACTATCCTTGTGTTCCTGATATGAATCCTACTTGTTCATGGTGTTAGATCCTTTAAAATGCATTGTTGGATTTGGTTCACTAGGGTTTTACTCAGGATTTTTGTGGCTGTGTTCATTAGGGAGATAGAAGCACATCACTGGATCAAGAAGACGTGGTATATATACACAATGGAGTACTATTCAGCAATCAAAAAAGATCAACTCATGCCATTCACAGCAACATAGATGGAGCTGGAAGGGATTATGCTCAGTGAAATAAGCCAGAAGGAAAAAAGAAAAATATCAGATAGTTTCACTTATAGGAGGAATATAGGGGAACCAAATAAAGGATCAGGGGAAAAATACAAAAATAAAAACAAAAGGAAATAGGCAACTATAAATCAAACATTCTGCAGGGGAGGGAGGGAGAGGGATCAAAACAAGGGTGAGAAGAGCACAAAGGACTATGGTGATGATGCATGGGTGAATTGGTGGTGGAAATTCTATGGGGACTACACCTGAGAAAAGAAACATTGTTTTAAAAAAAAGAACAATGATGTAAAATATATATTTTATAAAATATTAAAAAAAAATATTTGTGCACCGTAGGTCAACAGTACTCCACCACTGAGGTTTCAGAGGTAGACAAGCCCAGCCAGTCTCATCCCTGTGTCAGGTTGAAAGTATGCAATCCAACAGATACTGTCCAGCCTGATGGCCCAACTTCCCTGAGGACCTGAAAGACAGGTGGAAATATACTCCTGAGGGGCCCTGTGAAAGATGTTGAAAGACCAACTCCTGGGTAATGGAGATGCCTGAGGAAGAACCTGTGAGGGGAACCAGACTAGAGAGGGCAGATCAGAGCATGGTTCCTGCATTAGGACAAACTGGACTCTGGGTAGTTCAATAAAAACAATTCCAAAGAAGTTGTGAGTTGAAAGTAAGCGTAATACTACTAGAGGTGACCCTCATGGAAATAGCAAAGTCAGTTGCCTGGTGCCCTCCCCACCACATCCTCTCTTGATGCATCTGGAGGATGACTTCTATGCCCTGCATCAAAGCTTTCAGGAACCAAATGCCAAGTACAGCAAAGTAGAAAAGGTTGCATTAGCTCATGCTGATTCTATAGAAGGGCAGCTCTGTGGGTCAACCAAAATATGAGAATCTGAGTCAAGCAGTGGAGGGCTTCTTGCATCTGAAAGTCTTATCAAGAAGGAAGTTCACATTTATGAGAAAACAGCCCAGAAATGTGCCCCACATGAAAAAGTATATTGTATGTATAAAATCATCCCTTCCTCAGTTTAAATGAAGACTAAAAACAGATGCCCTCTTACTCAGTCTCATTTCTAGACTTATTAAGTCAGCAATGATGAGGCACATTAATCACCACTGAATTCTACAAAATTCAGGTCTCGCCTGTTTGACAATCAGGACTATGTCAAATGTGTTGACTTAGTTGGGACCTGAAGGTTTGTGATCTCAGGGCTGTTTAACAAGCAATGTAATAAAACTTTTAAAAAAAGGACATATACCAAGATTACTTTTCCCCTAATTACTTCAAGAACAGTTTCTATTATTTGCAACAGGGCACTCAAAATAGAAAAACCAAGGCTTGGATTCCTGTCCCAACACTTACGTGTTGTGTGACATTTAGCTGGTATTAACCTGCTTATTCATCTATACTAAACCAGGCCAGGCCAGGCTAGGCCAGTCCGTCCACAGGCTCAGCCCCACCCGCAGCCTGCAATCATCTTGCCTGTCTGTCCCCAGATGCTGTTATGGATGCCTGAAGGATGCAGCAGGAGAAACTGTCCCTTCTTTGGCTCTGACCTCCCCACCAAGGGCCTATCTCCGGACCCTTGTTGAATAAAAAAGGAAAATCATAGAACAGACCCAGTAGCTTAGAAATATTCAGCAGAATAAAGTGATATTCTGAGTTCTGCAAGACATTAAAAGGACAAGTTCAGTGGAAACTAAGTTTATTTTTTAGTAAGCCACATTAAAATATACATCATAGTTATTTAAAATATCATAATCAATGTAAAAATAGAGCTCTCTTCTCCCCTATAAAAGTTAATCACAATACTGTAGGCTAGATACATGATATTTCCAGTCAGGTCCCTCAGTGTTAACTGCTCAAAACGAAAACAAATCTAGTTATATATATCCAACTTATAGTACAAAATATATACAAAAGCATAATTGTAGTGTGGACAAATAAAGTTACCAAAATATAGCTAATGCAATTTACTTTACAGAATATGTATTCAAGTTAATTTTTTTCAAGAGCTTCCCCCCTTAGTTGAATAGCAACACTTTTGCCTTCATCTGTCTGAATGACAAGTAAAGCTTCAAATTTGCCCGCTGACTTTGGTCTGAACTGCACAGGCATGTTGATGTAATGTTGAGCTCTGTAAAGAGAAGAGATATCAGCAGCCTGGTCTACAGTAACAAATGAATCTCCTGCCACAAGTAATTTATGAAACCTTAATTAAAAATCCTGGAAGCTCTTTCAGATTATATTGAGGTGGATAATGAGGGGGCTCTGTTTAAAAGTAGAATGTTAACAAGTTTTTGTTTATAAAACGTTAAGTCCCAAGAACTTCAAAGATACCTTTATTCCCATGGTGAATGAGAGGGCAGACACTTGAACATAGCCTGTGTGAGGTTATCAACTCAGTCAATCAAATAAGTAAAAGTTGATATCTTTTAGATTTTCCTTAGAAGGAAGGTATTTTCTCTCTTAGTCTTATCTCAGAGCTACATTTTTTTTATATTTTTGTATTTTATATAATTCTTGTATCATTTTTCATTTTTGCACAATGTATGCGTTTTCATTTTGGTTATATTGCCCATATAGTTCCTACCCCCCTTATTTTCACCCTAATCCCTCCTTTCCTACCCACCCCCATCCCCGGCCCCCAGTATGTCTTTAGTTTATAGTTGCTTGTTGATTTTGATTTTTTCTTTATTATAATTAGAGTGACATGTTTTAAAAGTTCAAGAATCAAACGTGACATACTGACAAAACTAAACCAAAACAATCTCTAGAAAGGTGCAACTGCAGAACTGAGGATACTAAAGGGGAATACAAAAGGGGACGGGAACAAAGGTTGGAGGGGCCCAGGTCTAAGGTAAAGGACTGTGGGGGGTGCTTTAGGGTGGATGTGGTATGGTGACATACAACTGAGGGGTGTGAACCTACTCCCCTAAATCATATACTGTGTTGTAAGCAAATGTTACTTCAAAGGGAGAGTTCAGTACTCAGAACTGATACATGCTTTCCTTTTGTTATTTCCTGCTAAACCAGTGCAGTGTTAGCTTTTTTGTGCACAACAGCACAATGGGTTAGAAATTCAGAAAACAGTTTTAAGTGTTTCAAAGGCTTTCCTGGATATAACTGATAATACATAATATATCTTTCCTTAAAAGTCTGGGTTATTTTCCTCAAATGCATTATAACTTACTTCCCCATGTCAAAACTAAAATGTGTTTTTAAAAAAAAGGGTATGCAGTCCATGGAATTGAGGTACAATTTTCTCTTTCATGTTAGTTTTTCAATACTCAGAATAAAGTAGTATGATTGTCAACATAAGTTTATAATTTATGAATAACTAAAATAAAATATTCCAAAAGAAATCTCTGGAAGATTCCATTATTAACAAATTTCAAATGGAAGACAGTACTGGTTCATGCTCAACTAAGGAAGGGATTTTTTAAGAAGTATTATGATAAAGATTTTATCCTTTGCTTTATTTATAGGTACTGTGAATAAACTGGAACATAATTTAGAAAAACCCTTAAGTCTAACATGACTATAGAATACTGCCAGTAAGATAGATGTCATAGTACCTTGCACAATTATTAGGAACCGGTTGCTTTATCTTTTTCTATGCACACATGCACACACACGAAAAAAGGAAAAGAGAAAGTATGCGGAACCCAACAGAGGTCTAGTTCAAAACCTTTGCTAATCTTACAGCAAAAACATTAGAGAACAAACATGAATTAGCAGTCCAGAGGTTGTTATAGAAGTGCATTCTAAACCACCTCATTTACTACCTGCCCCATTTTCATTTAAATGGCTTATTAGAACATACAAACTAAACTATTGATGTTTTTTAATTTAAAAGGAATATAAAAACCCAGCACATTAATACAGCCAAGGTGTCATCTTCAAAGAAATAATACATTCCTGCTTTTCAGTGATAGTGTCATGATCCTTAGCTGTGACTTTGGTACGAAATGTCCAGAAAAATCCCACCTTTACAAAAAACCATTATCAATGTTTCCTTTTCTCTATTACCTCCTTTGTAATCTATCACTTTCACTGAAACAAACATCTCCAACATACATTCATGCTCAAACACATATACACTAGGCCACCCTCTTAACTTCTGGAGGGAATGCTGCCCATTTATATTGTTGTGTATGCCAGTGTGAGGAATTACTATAAGCAGCCCTGCAAGGGGCCTTACCAGCCTTGGTAAAGGTCCATATTAGCAAGATGATTATTACCTCACGTATCCCACAGACAATAAAGTCATGTTGTTACTCTGGAAGTGTCAGAGAGTGGGTAGCACTCTAATGAACAAATGTGGCTAATGAATGGCTGGCAACTGCTTCTCCTGATTATCAAGAGAATCTGTTCTACCTGTCAAAGCAAGCTAACTATTCCTCTCAAGCAGCAATTATATTTTATAAACTCTTGTCCAAAGTCAAAATGTCTAATATTTGGAACAAATACATTAGAACACTTTAATAAGAACAAACACCCTCCACTATCTCAGTGTAAATATTCTCAAGTGAGACAGTGTAGCAAAATCCTGTTTCTTCCCCAAAGTTGAAAGAAGTCATTCTTATATGAAAAGAAACCAGCTTTTATCCTGTTAAGTAAAACTTAAACCTATGGATGTATCATAAAAGTTTCCCATGAGCTTAATTTTTACTTTATTATAATCAGTATTTTTCCTGGTCCCTTATTTAGGTTTTCTAAATTCCTGCTATGAGTGAGACCATCCAGTATTTTTCTTTTTCTTTCTGGCTTTTTTTCGCTGAGTGTGATCCCTTCTAGCTCCATCCATGTTGCTGCAAATTGTATGAGTTTATCTTTTTTGATAGCTGAGTAATATTCCATTGTGTGTATGTACCAGAGACACACTATGGGGGGGATGGGGAGGGGAAGGGAGTAGGATCAAAACAAGGGGATGGGAATTGTATGGGGGCCAGAACCAAGATGAAAATGCATACATTGTGCAAAAACGAAAAATTATGTAAAAAATATATAAAATAAAAAAAATTTAATTAAAAAATAAAAATGAAGGAAAAAAAAAGTTTCCCATGATCGAGCATTTATTTCATTAAGTCAAATAGTGCTTTACGGGTCTCACTCATAGCAGGAATTTAGAAAACCTAAATAAGGGACCAGGAAAAAGACTAACTATAATAAAGAAAAAGTCAAAATCAACAAGCAACTATAAACCAGAGGCCGGGGGTAGGGGGAGTGGGGGGAGGGGGGTTGGGTTGGCAGGGAGAGGAAGGATTAGGGTCAAAATGAGGGGGGTGCAATTGTATGGGGACTATAACCAAAATGAAAATGCATACATTGTGCAAAAATGAAAACTGATGTGAGAATTATGTAAAATAAAATATTAAAAAAATAGTGCTTTACACAGGTGATTTTCTAATTCATATTTTATTAAGTTTATACTGGAGCTGTTGCTATTAAATTTGATGTTAGAATTTGTTACATTACACATTTACCTCACACTCCATAATAGTAAATATGAATGCTTTCTGGAAGCTCATCATGATCAAGTACCAAAGTATGGATCAGTGATACTAAGTACTTAAGTACATGGTAAAGTATGTCAGTACCTGCCACTATATAATATCAAATTAATCTTCAAAGCATAAAAATTTAAAAATAAATGAAATTAATAATATGGTCAAATCTTGTGATGTTAAACTGGTTGCTTATGTAAACTGTCCAATTTTTGCTTAAAAATATTTTTTCTGGCTTCTGTTCTTTTAGATACCATTAACATGCTCTAGACTACATAGAAAAGCATGCTCCATTTTGACAGCTTAAACATTTCTAGCACTGGAATCAAATCAACAAGTTTAACTCTATAAGATTCTACTTTTAAATAGCTGACAATGAACACATATATTTCAAAATTGGTCTCCAGGAAAAAAGGTGGAAGCTAAGCAAAATGCCATGTCATTTATAAACACTGAATTTCTCATTTAAACTGTTTTACACAACATTTCCCATAGTGTATGTGATAATTCAGGAAGAAAAGGAGAAGAAAGAATAGTTAGGAGTAGCTGGTGCTATTACCATTAACACAACTACTCTCAATTCAGGTAGGTTCACAGAAGGAATAATGCTATAATATTGTTTAAAAAAAATTAAATGATGAAAAAAGAGATGCTAATTGCCAAAATTATATTTCAATTAAGGTACTGTCAGCATTCTGTGAATATACAGTACCTCAATATCAACTACATTATACCACCCCAAATTCCTCTTAGATCTCTTTCATGCAATTGGTCTTGTTCCTTCTTTCCACAATAGGAACAGACTCTGCTGCTTGTAATGCTATCATAATGGAACAGGTAAGGTTCTTTTTCTGCAAAAGCTCAAGGTAGATGAGTTGGTTTAGAAATTTCAGCTGAAATAGAACTTTTAAAAAATCTGTGAAAGCAAATTAAAGGATATCATCAAGGAGACTGCATGAATTTAGTAACGAAAGTTGGAAAACGAATGTTTTAACAGCAGCAAGTTTTCAGTGCACCATCCTCTTGCCATAAGATGGGAAGCAGTGATACAAAGCTGAACAATTTAACAAGCTATTTTAAATTACTCTTTACCAAAGTACAGATGAATCGTATGTAAACACTGTTTCAGAAAATTTTGATACCTGTTTCTTTAAGGGGGGGTGAGAATCTGTAAGATTTCTTGAAACTTTTTTTTTAAATCATTTTTTAGAGCTCCTTGACACATAAACCCTTCCAGAAAAGAAAAGCCTTTTGCAGTAACTTATGACAAGTGTGTATGCTAATTTACACAGAAGTATACCCCCCTTGATCTACTTCATATTTGAAGATAAACACCTGCAAAAAAAAGCTGGTAAGATCTGGAATGTGACCTGGGTAGAGAATAAATGGGATGCAGAATTAACAGTACAGTTTACAATAAAGTTTGAAATCAGGTAACAGTATTGAGGATAATTTATTCAGTATCTATTATCAGTGAGTAGCTATTATCACTAAAAACTACAATTGGAAATTTAAATGATTTATAAAGAAATGAATTTCTAGTGCAGTTCTGCCACTTTGTGTTTATTAGCAGTAATTACCAATGTTTGAGTACTCACAGTACCAGTCTGACTTCTATTGGGACAGGCATTCACTATCCTGAGATGCACAGCCTGCTGGGAGATAGGCACTCAGAACAAAGAAGCTGGAAAAACTGGATTTGTAGTTCTTTAACCTTAGGTCTTTCTCTCCTATATAGTTGTTAAAGGGATTAAGTGGGGAAAAATTAATGCAAACCCTTGATGTGCAATCAAAATCTGTGGGGTTAGTATTACAGGATCCTCCCAGTAAGGATAAACTAAAGGGAAGGCTCAATTTTGCTGAGGCTGTTACCGTCTGCTGAGGGCTTTCCATGACTGCACCAGCATCTGCACATCTCTCCTGTTTCTCTACAACTCCATGCTGTCGGGAGCATCATCACCTCCTCTTACAGATGAAGAAACTGAGGCTTTGGGAGACTGACAGTAACTTTTAGATATATTCATTATTGACTTTACCTAGATATATTCACCATTGAATTAGCAGAGTTCCGTATCTTCATGTCAGTCTCCTTAGAGGCAAAGATAGAGCTTAATTCCTTTATTTTTATTTTATTTTTTTTTACATAGAAGAACTGGGGTATAGGCCAGAGGTGCATGGGTGTAAGAGGATCACCAGACAGAGTGGGGAGCAGAACAGGCAGATTTACTTAAGCACACTGCTGAGGGAAGAAGCATGCGAGACAGGAAAGGTCTGCTGTGCCTTAATGTGGGTTAGCTCCGTGGCTGGGATTGAACTCAGGCCACAGTGGTGATAATGCTGAGATTCATCCCTTAGGTCACCAGGGTGGCCTATAGTTCAGATGGGGGAGAAGTGGTGGGAGATGAAAAGATTCTGGAGGACAGCACTCGTGAAAGACAGTCCTAGAATATGTGCAGAGTGCTGCAAATTCTCACAGAAAGTAGCATTTCTGAAATAGCCACTGAATGCTAAAATTAAAGATTTTATAACTATTAAGCGGAAAGATTTAAAGATAAAATTATTCTTCTGTATTAAGTCTAATAGAATCTTCCTGTTGAAATTCTAAATATCAGTGAAAATCCAGTTTGCAATTTTAATTTAAATGTACATCACATGGAAAAAGGAAATTAGCAAAAAAGAGGTCAAGAGAATGAGGCCTTGATTTAATATAGGATACTTGAAGAACGACAACTTGAAAAATACCATAATGTAAATTTTCCCAACTTGGGCAGGTTTTCGTACCAATTAGTGAAACTTTAAATCCTTCATTCTCAGCACAATGAAGATAACATTTGGGGCAGAATTACTCTAAAGTTAATCATCAGATAATTAAGACACTATGTACTTTTGGACTGGCAAAATATTGACAATCACACGCTAGATTCAACACACTACTCAAAGCTGCTACACTGTAAAGCAGCCCTTTGAGCATCAAGAATGTATTCTCTGCAGGCTCCTTATTGCTGAAGACCCACAAGCATGTACATGCCCACGGTGTTGGTGACAAAGAAGAGAGGCTGCAATAGAAGAAGATCTCACCAGATCTAAATCCCCAAGAAAGTCTACTGTCCTGAAAACAAAGTCCTGTACTAGGATAAGAATGTACTGACTTACGATAAACTCACCTCAACGAATATTTTGAATGTTTGACGTAGAAAGGCTCTCTGGGACTTAAAAACTTCAGCTGGAATTTAATATGAAATACTTTATGAAGTCATTCAAGTTAGATTATTTGAGCATGCAAAAATTATATGATGCATTTAATTAAAGATACATTTTACAAATATAAGTATATTCACAAAATTAGGTTAAGGCAATAAATGCTCATGTGATCAAAACACATTTAAGGGGATCTTAACATGAGTCTGCTCTAGCTTTGACTAGAGTAAATGTTACCCAGAAATCTCAGTGTAACAAAAGAAAAATTTTAAAAAAATCCCAAAACTATGAAAACAAATACTAAGTATTTTTGATTTTCAGATAAAGGGTTTGCCATGAGTTTCCTTTCATACACAATATTAAAGGTAATTTAAAAAATAGCTCATTATTACAAAATATAACCTACAAATGCATGTTTCTATTGGAAATTGTTTACCAAACAGTACATTTACTTTTCCAAAACCAACAACAGCATATCCAACTTACCGAGTGTGTAATAAAGGAATTATTTCGCAAATTCACTTTTAATGTCCTTGATTCCCCAACTCTAGTCGGCAGAAACTGATACATATCTTCTGGGGCATAAACGCCGCGATGAGTCAAGTCAAGCTGCCTGCTTTGGAAATTGGTTTAAAAATAAGCTATTTTTAAATATTAAGTTATGAAGTGTTGCTTAAATTTTTATTTTCTCTCACATCTTAGTTTAACAAACTGACATCTGGAGGACTCTCATGAAGGTGCTGGGGGGCTGCTCTACCAGACAGATACCACCTTTGCCCCTTTCATCCTAGTGCTGTCCATTGGACAGTCTTCATTCTCATAGGGATATGGAGTAATCTGAGAGTGTAACAGAGCTTTGTTTTGCTTGCATTTGATAGTGGTGACAACTTCTTCTTGCCTTGGCTTCCTGGGTCCACAGTTGACTTTTATTTTTCCTCAGTCTTTGTAGCTCACCCCCAAACCCTCACCTCTAGGGTTGTAGTCCCTAGGCTTGGTCCTGGACATCACTAACTGCTCACACCACACTATTCCTAGGTCAGTCATTTTGGGTGATTCAGTGACCTCACACCAATGTGACCCCAGATTTGTATCTTAGCTCAGGCTTTGAGACATACCTATGCATTCAATCATCACACAATTTACCTTCTCCAGGCTGTCTAAATACATCTCCACATGCACACATACAAACTAAACTTGGGACCTTCCCTTCAAATATGACCTCCACTTGTATTTCCCATATCTGGAAATGGTTTCTGAAAGCCACCCTTCACCCTCACACCCACTCCTTTACCTAATCGATTACATCACTGAGGCCTTCAAATTTCCTTTCTAAATACTTCTCAAATTTGTTCATTTCTCTTCACCTGCCTTGACAGCACGTTAGAACAAACTACAAGTATACTCAACACTATGAATAAGTCCCAAAAAACATGTTGTTAAGTGAAAGAACCAGATACAAAGAGTACATATGTAAATGAAATTCAAGCACAATAACCTACAGTGAAGATCAAAGCAGAACAAATCTTGGGATGGGGGTGATGGTGGGGGCTGACTGTAACGGGAAAACATCGGCACTTTCCAGGATGAAGTATATTCTCTATCTTGACTGAAGTGGTAACACATGCAATCTCATAGGTAAAGTCACTGAACATTTTACCTCGGTAATTACAGTACTGAAAAAAAATTCATAATGACAAAAACAACATACCCAGGCATGAGAGCAGAAGCTTCTGATATAGCTCGATTTTGAGGCTTAACTATATTATTAATTTTAATTAGAGTATTTGTGAAAATAGATGAATTTTCAGGTTCATTTTTTGATCTGACACTCTGTATTAAAAAAACAAAGGGTGAAGAAGGAGAAATAAATATTCTAGGAATATATGACCATTTACCTATTCAAATTCTACAATTTCCTTTGTGACTTTTAACAGAAGATTTAACAATTCCCCAAATCACAATCCTATCCTTTGTACTACTCAGTTTCTTACACACACACACACACACACACACACACACACACACACACACACAGAGTTAAGTCAAACATAGACTTTGGACAGCCAAATCTAGACCTCAAACATGCCCATCAATGAAGATGAGTGAGAAAATTAAAATTATAGGTCTGCACAACAAAATTAATGAAACTAGGAAAATAATCTCCATTTTCAAGCTAATTTGTCATGTCAGTTTCACTTAGTGTTTATTATATACACACAATTTACTTAAAGTCAGTGTATTACTCACTTGTCCAGAGAGTTGAAACCTTAAGGTGTGTTTCAAGTGAGGCTCTTTAAGGTGATGACATTCAACATCCCAAAACTGGGCATAATCCCCTCTATCCCTAGGCAAAAATGTGATGGAGACCTACAAACACCACATCCAGGAGATAAATTTAGACACTGAAACTTACATAATTCAATTATATTTCTAATTCAAAGTGCTGGTATAAAAAAACTATAGGGAAAAATGTTTTTGCACTGGCTAGTTTTCCACTAACTGAAAAGAATTTAATTCTATAGGGTTACTATACCAAATCCAAAATGTCTTTCTTTACAGTTTTATATTACATAAAATGTAAATATTTTTTAAAATTTATCAAAAAATGCTAAAGCTGCCAAGTACAAGATCTAAATGAGACAGGTCCCATCCCAGAAATACAATTCAATCTTTCATTGCAATGCTATGGAACCCTCTGCTGGCCAAATGGCGAAGCACTAAGCCTAGCACATACCACTGACTGGAGAAGGCTGAGAGGATATACAGAAAGTGTGAAGGAAGGGGTGGGTGTGCAGTGAGAGGCAGAAAAAATAAGCACCATTTGCTATATAATAATAGCTCCAGTTAACTTCAGAATGTTGTCAGAATAGGAATGGTTACAATAATGATAAAGCTGCAATGTTTAAAAATAGTATTTTATAAAGGTTACCAGCACTGAGAGTTTTCAATATTAAAAATACTATTAGCTAGGTTAACAAGTATCTCTGAGTCTGAACATAAGTCACTTAACTATTTTATTGTTAATTTCTGTCAATACACAGCACAGGAAACAAAGTGGACTGCATGCCTGAGAGCATGGCGGCAAAGGGAGGCTACTGATGGAGGAAATGAGGTGACGAAGATTAGAGAGTGACACGTATAGATCATTAGGTGGCAGAAGATTAAGGAAGAAAATTAACCATTTCTTAAATGGTGAAAAAATACAAGTGGATCTGGAACCACTAGGGTTACAGTACCACGTATTTTATAAATAAAATTCATGCCTCCTTCCAATACCAGAAAATAAAGAGGAGGGAAGAAAATATTGCTGGAAGTTATACCCCAGGAACATATGGGAACTTTAACTTTCACTAGTTCATTTACACCCATATCAAAACCAATGTTTTAAAAAGTGTATCTCTCTTATTTTTAGAAATAGGTTGTATCTAACTGAATTCTTTTTTTCCTCTTGGATCACTACTATATGCATCAATAATTGTGCTATTTGGTGATAATTCCCTAAATGGGTTCCCAGAAGAATATGCTTTGCCTTTTCCCCCTTAATATATATTAAGTAACCAGATCTAGAAAGTGATTTGACAATTATCTCATTTTATGAATTTTAGTTGATGGACCTTTTGGTTATTTCCACTTTTTTTAGTTATAACAGAGTTTCTATGAAAACTTAATACCAACATTTTTGTTTGGTCACCAGTTTTTAGCTTTTAAATATATAGATTGAAAAGTGAAATTACTGAGTCACATAGTAGTTCTGCCAGACTTATTGAGAAACTGTCAAACTGTTTTCCATAATGGCTACAGCTTTTAACATTTCCATCAATAGTATATGAGTGTTCCAGTTTCTCCGTATTCTGACACTTTTTTTTTAGATTTATTTATTTATTTATACAATCACTGGGTACAGTCAGAAGCATGGGAGGGTGAGAGAATTCACCAGAGCCAGAGCGGGGAGCAGAACAAGTACACTGCTGAGGGGAGCAGCAGGTGGCAGGAGAGGTCTGCGCACCATGTGGGGCCCACACCCAGTAGCCCGGGGACTGAACCAGCGCTGCAGAGGCCAGCCCAGTGCTCAATCGCTGCGCCACTGGGGAGGCCCCTTTGTCAAATGTTTTATATTTTCTCCCATACTCTGAATTGTCTTTTTACTTTCTTAATGGTGTTTTTTGATGCACTAAAGTTTTAAATTTTGATAATTCACCTAATTTTCCTTTTGACACTTGTGCTTTATTGGTAATTAAGAATACTGGGCCTCCCTGGTGGTGCAAGGAATTAAGACGCAACCTATGAAGCTATTGGCCAAATGGTGAAGAACTGCAGCATAAGTTCGATCCCTGGCCAAGAAGCTACCCACATGGTGCAGCAGACCTCTCCTGGCTCGCCCACTGCTCCCCTCAGCAGTGTATTTCTGTCAACCTGCCTATTCTGCTCCCCACTCTGTCTCTGGTGAATCCTCTCAGCCCCCACACCTCTGGCCTGTACCCCGGTTCTTGTACGCACAAATAAATCTTAAAAAAAAAAATACTTAAGTCAAGGTCATTAAGATTTATAGCTTTAGCTCTTATATTTAGATGCATGGTCTGTTTAAATTTTGGAATATGGCAAGAGGTAAGGGTCCAGCTAAATTCTTTTGCATGTGGATGATATCCAATTGTCCCAGAACCATTTTTTGAAAAATACTCTTTCCTTACTGAATTGTGTTGATATACTTATTGAAAAATCAACTGACCATAAACATGAGGGTTTATTTTAGGACCCTCAAGTTTATTCCACATATTCTTTATGTCTATCCTTATCTCAGTACCACACTGTTTTTATTATAGTAACTTTGCAGTATGTTTTGAAAATGATAAGTCCAGGTCCTCCAACTTTGTTCTCTTTTAAGGCTGTAGTGGTTATTCTGGGTCACTTGCATGTCCATATGAATTGTAGCATCAGTTTGTGAATTTCTTAAAAAAACAAACAAAAAAAAAAAACCCCAGCAAAAAATAAATAAAAATCCCAACACAACACAATCAGCTGGGATTTTGCTGAATCTGCAGATCAACGTAGTATTGTTATATTAATGTTAGGCCTTCCAGTTCATGAATACAGTATGTCTTTCCTGGTGGGGATTTTGGTTTTTTTTTTTGGCAACTTTTTCTCAGATGTTGAACTTCTATAAAGCAATGTGTGTGTTCCCTATTCTGTGCCTGTACCTCTACTGTGATGTGGGAGGTAAAATAAACTCTGGGTGTAGAACTCTATCTCTCTTCCAGAGAGCAGAAACTCTTTGGAACCTTATTTTATACTAATCCAGTAAAGTGCACAGTTTGAGATGACTATCCTTATTCAAAGCTTCCTTTATGATCAGTTATGATTTTACAACTATATTCTAGAATTTATTTGCAGTCTCAAGTGTTGTAGTTTAAAATATTTCAGTTATTAGCATGAAAAAGCATATAAAAGGGCAAGTGAATGACTAGTGTCACTAAGAAATATTTGAAGGGGCAATGTCAGGCCCACAAAAGAATTAAAATTTCAAAGGGTCATGGTAACTAAAAGGGTCTGCCACCATTTACCCATGAAAATACAGTACTGACTATTTCAGGAGCACTGTGCTGTTTTCGAGTAGTGGTAGATTTCTCTGACTATGGTTGGTGGATAAAAAACACTATCTGGATCAGTGGTGCTCAAGTGTATTCTAAGCACTGGCAGTATGTGGTCAGATGAACTACTTATATCTGAATGTAAATCAACCATATCACTGAGCATGGTGTTTTGTTTAGCTGGCAATTTTTCAACAGCAAATCTTTCTGCTGCAGGCGTAGCACAACTGTACGTGCAGGCAGCATCTTGTCCTGCAGTACCTGGCTATGGGCAGCACTGGTCTAGGGGAAACACTTTTTGGGTAGATACAGATGTGCCACTTTTGGTCAGTCAACACCATGTTCAAACCAGCTGGCTATGTGGAAAAAAGTCAAAACTAACCTTTTGGGTTCCATGGCTTTCAAGTATACCAGAAATAGGAAAACATATGAATGCGGCATAGGTAGCTCTAAAAACATCTCCACTTTCGTCAATTCCCTACAAAGACATCATTCGAACAATCAAATGAAAAAAGTTTAATTCCAGTGACACCATCACCCTTATGGTTATTGAAAACATACAATTTGCTTCGCAGTGGAAAAGGCACACTTTGTACCTGCCTAGGAATAAAAATGCTACTTGCCTTGGCTCACAAGAGATCTCATGCTGACTCAACTCTTATCAGCAGCCTCCTTCCAGGTTATTTTGTCCTTAATGTTCAAAGACTACCTTTTCCTTAAGAACCTGGACATGCACTTTTAACATCCTATGCAATGTGTGTTCTTTTATTTCTTTTCAATAGATCCAGCTCTACTTGTACATGATTTGCTAACATTATAGTTCAAAACCGTTACTGTCACACTAAATATACGGGAGAAAGATCCAAGTATTCTAAATAATACACATGACAACTTGTTCAATTCAGGCAGTGCTCACTGGGGGAGACTACAAGCAGGATACATTCTGCTGACACTCACTGGCAAAAAATGTTCAAGTCCATCTCCTGAACTATCTCCTCTAGCTGAAAACATACAACAGTACTCAGAGGGAGAGAAAAATGGATATGTGTGTGCAATATACAGTGTCCTGTAATTAAAATTTTACATTACTTTTCAAAAGAAATTATTTCAGATAAAAAAAGGATTTTGGAGCATTAAATGGAGCAAGTATTTATTTTCATACACATTCTCTAATTTTACTCTCAAAACCATCTATGAAATGGAGTGGACATGTTCTAGCCCCACCTACGAGAAAATTACATGAATGAATTAGTGAAACAAACAAAATCAATAATCTCAACCTATGTTCACAATTTAATTTTTTAAACATTTGCATACAGCCTAAACATTAAAGTGAACATATGTGAGGTAATTACTGACCTTGACATAAGGTGGAGCTAAAGAAGACAGATGCCATTTCACGTCTCTGTTACCATGATTCTCAAGTTCCAGGTAACTTTCTAAAAGAATCGCATGTATAACAACTCAAACTCTTTGGAGAGGTAAATAAACATATTACTGTGATAATTCATTACTATAATCATCTCACATTGTGGAAAAAACACAACCACTAGCTCTCTGAGGAAAGGAGATCTTTCCAACGGGAAAGGAATGACAATATTTTCTAACAAAATCAAGTTTGGCTGATAGCCTAACTTTGGATCTACTGAAGTGCAATGCAAGGTCACCGAAGGGTTTCAGCCAGGGAGCAATAAGATGATTTATGTTTTTACTGTGTAAGAAGTACTGGCTGCTATATAGAAAAGAGACTAGAAGGGGCCCAGAGTGGAAGAAGGAGTCCTTTAAGATGTCACTAGAGTATCTCAGTTGAAAAATGATGCTGTGGTAAGCTGCACTAGGTCTGCAATGGGACGAAAAGGACAGGCAAATAGCAGGATCTATTTTGAACACATATTTCAAAGGATTTGCTGATGGACTAGATGGCAGGAGAAAAGGAAATCAACTTGCAGGTGTTAGAGGCTAGGAAAAAGAGAAGATAGCAATGGAACCCAAGGTGGTACATATCAGGCAGGGAAAAACTGGGAGACCTAGGAAAGTTTATCAAGGAAGAAGGAGTGGTTGACAAGTGTTGGGAGGTCATGTTAACAAAGCCACATAGAAGAACCTGGGTTTGGCAAAATGGAGCTTTTAAGTGATCTTGACAGGAGCAGGTTCAGGGTGTAGTAGTGGGAACAGCTAAATGGTGTGAGGAAGTAGAAGTGGAACCACAATCCTTTTACTTCAAGAAAGGGCCTAGATTCCAAAACACAGGGGTTAGTCTGTGATGGAACAGAAGCCTTTCATGTAGTTGAATAGACTCTAATATTTTCAGTAATTAGGCAAATTCAATAGCTGCAAAGAGTGAGACAGGAGTCTCCGGAGAGGAGAAGGGAGCAGGAGCTTTGAAAAGATGCTGTTAGCTAACTGCTGGAGATGGGTAAAGGTCACATACTAAGCAGGACTGGTAGGAAAGCAGAGTGCTGAGGAGGCATCTGAGTGGTGAGATGAATCAGGCAAGGCTGTAGTTTTCTCCTCCAAGGTTCTACTACTAGGGTAGAGATAGGGAGTATGTAAAACAGTGGATTTAAAAGGGCTTGGGATTTTGCTAGACAGGAATGCAGAAAGAAAGGGATATAAGGTAGATAATATTGTGAGGCAGTAATTATGATGGGATGTGGGATGAACAGGGTGATAGAGAGTGAAAAGGTAGTAGGGCCCGTGGACTGGAGATCTGAATGAGGTCAGAGAATTGCTATAATCCCTAGAGGAAGCGAGCTGGCAAGACAGAATGGGGCTGAGGGTGATGGCCAGGAAGTGCCGGACTTGAAACAGTGAAAACATGGTACAGTTATTGGTGATCATCAAAACCACAGGGAGGACCATGGAAGTAGGAAACTGAGCTTGAGTGGAAGACAAAATCAATGAGAGAGGCAAAGTTAGGTAACAGAGTCCCAAATCCTTTCTAACATGTCCATGTTCAATTCTAGTAATTTAAATTGAACTGTCAATGGGGGAAGGTAAGGCAAAAAACAATACTCTCAGAACCTTGAAAGAATATTAGCAATATCGCATGCCACTAGATGAAAACACTATGTGAAGTGTGTTCACATAGTGTGTAAGTAATACCTAGGTATTAATTACAATGACCATCTACAAATGGGGAAATTGAGCAAGTGTATTTCTTAGCAATTGTGGCAAAAATCTAAAGCACCCATCAAATACAATGTAAGATTTCTGGAATATAGTTATTGAACACCTAGGTTTTAACATTTTATGACTTGTGAATTCCTTCAAACCCAGTCAATCACTGAAATAACTGTCAATGACAACATGTTTTTTTTTCCTGAAGTGGGGGAAAATTTGGTGCTTATCACTAAGTAAGGTTTAATTCCTGATGCCATACCTGAAGATTCACCAGGTTCTGTTATAGAAAAAGTAACAGTCTTGTTTCTTATTTCAACTTTTGTGGAAGGTGGTTTTGTTATTGGTTTTGCCAAATAACTAACAGCAGGTCCAGTGTCTGGGGACAGGATTCCAAAAGGGCTGGAGGCCAAACTAGTGAGAAGTTCCTGTTGGGTCAAATCTTCCCGAATTTGAACTTTCACAATTTTCTGGAATGAGACAAGTAAAAGGATTAGACACAAATGTAGCTATCATTAAAAAAAAAAAAAAACAACTTTTTAAATCCTGGTAGAGAATAGTAATGTCTAACTAACAAAACACTGATGAATTTAGAAATTGCTATTTAGATCTCAAAGTAAGCCTTTGGCTCTACCCTCTTTCCCCCAACTCTCTTATTTATTATTTTTTTTAATTAAAAAAAATATTTTTTATACAAGCACTGGGTACAGTCAGAAGCAAGGGAGGGTGAGAGAACTCGCCAGAGCCAGAGTGGGGAGCAGAACAGGCAGAAGGACCGAAGTACACTGCTGAGGGGAGCAGCGGGCGGCAGGAGAGGTCTGCGCGCCATGTGGGACCCTCACCTGGTGGCCGGGGATCAAACCGGCGCTGCAGAGGCTGTGGGCAGCTTCGCAGCCCAGCGCTCAACCGTTGCGCCACCGGGAGACCCCCAACTCTCCTCTTTTATTAAAGCAAAATTGTAAATAACTGTTTCAATGCCCCACTCCACCTTACCCTGAGTATGATTCAGATCCCTAATGTAAAAATTCCATACTAATAAGTGCTCTATTTAAATAAGTCCAGCTAGACTGACTTCAATTGTTTTGTGAAATGTAAGTGCTAATTAAGGATTATAACACTTAAGCTACAAAAGAAATGTTTCTTAAAAACAATTTAAAAAGTACCTCTTGTCCATTGTCACAGTGTATATAAATCAAACCACTCCATGGGAACATTGAACGTTTTGTGGATAGGGAGGAATTAGGACTCACAAGAATCTGTAGCACACTCCTTAAAAGTAAGAATTTAACAATGAAAATGAATACACTTTAATAGCAATAACCATGAGTTATAACTTTGTGCCAATGACAAACTATTTCCTTATTTTTCAGAAAAGCAGAGAACAGCTTTCCCACATATCTGATTTTGCCTCAACTCAGTGACTAACAAAAAAAAGGTGAGTGACAGGAACTCAAGAACATAGGGCCTACACTCATGTGAAAACAGGCCACAGAAATACATTTTCTTCTTCTTTTTTTTTTTTTTTTTTAAGATTTATTTATTTATACAAGCACTGGTTATAGTCAGAAGAGCGGAAGGGTGAGAGAATTCACCAGAGCCAGAGCGGGGAACAGAACAGGCAGACTGATGAAATACACTGCTGAGAGGAGTAGCGGGTGTGGCAGTAGAGGTCTGCACACAATGTGGGACCCTACCTGGCGGCCAGGGATCGAATTGGCGCTGCAGAGGCTGCGGGCAGCTTCGCAGCCCGGCACTCAACCACTGCGCCACCGAGGGAGGCCCACATTTTTTTCCCCAAAGATTTATTTATGCATACAAGAATTGGGGTGTAGGCCAGAGGTGTGGGAAGTGAGAGGATTCACCAGAGATAAAAGTGGAAGTCTGAACAGGAGGATCTACTGAAATACACTGCTGAGGGGAGCAGCAGGTGAGACAGGAGAGGTCTGCTGCCCCATGTGGGTTAGCTCCCTGGCTGGGGATCTAACTCATGCCGAAGTGGCTGGCCATAACCTCTGCACCACCAGGGAGGCCCGGAAATACAATTTTAAAAGCAATTTAAAGTAAAAAGTTCTGGAGCAAAAGATTAATAGTACAAAAGCTCTGAGAGCCTTGATAATGAAGAGTAATTCAATAGAGAAGATACTACAATAAAAGAGAGCTGGAAAAGGAAAGGAAAAATTGTCTTTTTTTTTAGCCAGTTGCTAAAAGTTTCTGTGCTTCTAGAGCCATGGGGTGTCAGAGCTTTAAATCTGACTATGCAATCAGATTTATGACTTAACATAACTTAAAAGAAATCAACAGTTACAAAAGCTATTTTGGTATACACCAAAATGTAGAGCCAGTTAATTTTCCTTTACTAGAAAGTTAAATAGGTGGGATGATGGAAAAAGCTGCTGGTGAAAAATCTGGCCTATCAGTCCCTATTTTACAACCATTAGTTAGTAAATGTTTACTTGATCACTTTGGTCCTAAGAATGTTTCTCTGGGGTGCCCTAACCATAATCGCTCAGCTGCAGTCAAGTAAATTCTCCTAAGATGCATACCCTATCATTTCACAGAAGTAAATAAAACTTCACATTGCTATTCTGCAAATCTGCTAATTCCAAATAAGAAACAACTTTCAAATGTGAATGTTCTGTACAATCCAGATGAAGTCCCCCTAAAAGCTGTAGAGCTGTGACTTTAACACTATCAATAATTAAACTGCACAGAGGGCAGCTACTTGTCAAATTTGGCCCCAGAAGACTTCCTTCTATCTTAGAATATTAATATTCCTGTGGAAAATGGAAAGCTCAGACATGAAAAGTCAGGAAGTTTTGTCTACAAAATGCCCTTTAGACAAAACCAGCAGAACAAGTTGAGACAAACCTAAGGCAACAAAAGGCAGGATCATCTGATCACTGCCTCATCACATGCCCAGTTGCAGCCCTTGCTTTGTAGTTTTGTAGGCAGAATAATATATCACAAAACATTCTGGCATCTTTGACTCCAGGAACTCTTTCCCACCTTACACAATCTTTTAGGCTGTACAATGGTTGGTTGTGGACACTGTCTTTATTCTGCAAAGTGGCATGAGTCTTGAACTCACTGTGGTCCCACAGAACACTTGGCAGTATTTACAGAGTAATAAGCTCACTACAAAATTTTACTGAATCAATTAAAATGGTTGATCCTTAAAATTCAGCAAACTAGCTATGAATAACACCGAGAAGAAAAGGTTTTACTTACTTTGGTGCAATAAATCCATGTTGTGGTGTTACTGTAAGACAATGTGCAGGCCAATATAGTTCAAATTTCAGTAACCTAATAGAATTATTTAAAATGCGGAAACATCCAGTTTTTGCCAGATCATCTATAAGTAAATAAAATGTTACATTTAGCATTAGTTAAAAAAAAGTCAACAAATGGTAAAAATGAATTCTAAATAAATACATTAGTATACCAACTATTTTGCTTTCTCAATTGTCCAATTATAGGAATTTCAAATTGCTGGTAAAGCAAGATCATTTGAAACTCCAGTTACTCAACAAAGTTCAATACTGAACAAAGATAAAGAAAGGAAATCTGGACTTAGACAGATGCATTTGTTTTTATTCTAAAACTATGCCAATGCTAATGATAATGGGGCAAAGGATCAAACAGGTGCTTTTGTAAAGGCTCTGTGGTGCAAGAAAAGGCCGCTCTGGGTTTGTGGACTGACGAGTAAAACCTTGTGGTCTCAAGTCTGAATTAGGCATCTAGCAGGTGAAAGGAGGCCATCATAAGCCATCTGTCACACATGCACAAAGTCCATGTATATATTCTAGATGAGCCCTGGGTAGAAAGATAGCACTGCCCTGGGTTCTAGAAGGTGTTCTTATTGTGGCATCATTTGATCATCTTACAAGCAGAAGGGGCCATCAAAATCAAGTGTTCAGGTTGGATAGTCCATGTTTCCTCAGAGGCAGATTTATCTGGAGAAGGGTTAACAACTTGTAAAAGTGGAGAGCCTTGAGGACCTTTGACTGGTAAAACATCCAAAGAAACATTGCCACCATGTTTCCCAGGACTGTCCGACTCACTATAGAGAGAGAAATTGACAATGATAAAAAGACAGTTTGTGTCTCATTTTAAAACTAATCATCATAAATCTAAAAATATTTAGATAAACTGCATTATATGCTGTATACTTTTCAGTGAATAAAAATCTTTTACTTTATGTAGAAAGTAATACACAAAAAGTAAAGTACAGGTCAAATATTGTTATACTAAAGACAAGAAAACTTGGTGATTTAAATTTACTATAAGGCAAATCCAGCAAGATGGAAGTAGCAAGATGGCACCTCCTTTAGACATGTACAACAAAAGTAATGCAAAACAAAAGTCAAAACCCTGTGGAAAAAAATGATTATCAGCATATATAATAAGAGCATAATCCTGACTAAAACAGGTAGGAAAAACTCTGAGAACTTTGTTTAAATTAATAACAGGACAGTACAATGCACAAGAAGGAGGAATGGCTGTGGAGCAAAGCCCCCTACAGCAAGTGACTTGGGCACACCCAACACTGGGGCTAAGATCAGCACTGAACTTTATATATAAGGACATGCATGAGCAGGCACCCAAGACAAACGATGCATTTTAGGAGAGTTACAGAATGAGGACCACTGGCTTGAATCTGAGCCCACAATATAAAATAGCTGTAGTCTAAATCAGGTGAGCGCACCTAGTCTACCTTATAGAAAGGACTAGTACTGAAGCTAAAGTTGAAATATCTGAAACACCTGCCACACCCCAACCCACACCTGCACCCCAGACTGAGATATCCAAAACACCTCCCACAAAGAAACATTTTACAACAGAAATTTCAAATTTCTGAGTCCACTGGAGGTGATCCTTCGATGCCCACTGCCCCGACCCGCTTTTATACCTACTATCCCTCACTGATTCCAGTCCCCGTGACTACCCCAACAAGTACGAAAACAACATTATAAATTTGTCTTCACTAAATCCCATACAAAGTAAAATATGAAGAGACAGAGGAACATAATATTAATGCCAGAACCAAAAAACCTAATAGGAGCCTTAACTTAGTGCTGTTGTGGAGCATGACAGAAGGGGACAAAAAGGAGTAAGGTATAGAAAAACCTATTTAAGAAATGTCACTGAGGGCCTCCCTGGTGGCACAGGTGGTTGAGCACAATGCTGTGAAGCTGCCTGCAGCTTCTGCAGCGTGGGTTCAATCCTGGCCGGCCGGGGAGATACCCACATGGCGAGGCAGACCTCTCCTGTCTCACCCGCTGCTCCCCTCAGCAGTGTATTTTGGTCAGTCTGTTCTGTTCCCGACTCTGTCTCTGGTGAATCCTCTCACCTTCCTGCACATCTGGTCTGTACCCTGGTTCTTGTATGCATGAATAAATAAATCTTAAAAAAAAAAAAAAAAAAAAAGAAATGTCACTGAAAACCACCTCACTCTAGTGAACCAGAAGCTGTGATTCAAGAGGCCCAGAGTTCCAAACAAAATAATACCAAAAAGACATATCAAGACACATAATAATAACAGAGTTGTCAAGAATCAATGATAGGAACAGAATACTGAAAATAGAAAAAAGGGTAATCTATAAGGGAATACCAATCAGACAATCAGCAGATTTTTCAACAGAAACATTACAAGCACAAAGGGACTGGAAAGAAAGATTCAAAGTACTTAGAGACTTCCAGTCCAAGATCCTCTACCCAGCAAGAGAGAAGGAAGAGTATGGAGCTTCCATGACAGGCAGAATCTAAAGGACTTATTGACACCAAACCATATATGAAAGAAATCCAGAAGGGTTATTATAAGGCAACAGAATAAGGGGACCTTAATACCCTACTTACAATAGTGGACAGATCAACAAAACAAAATACAACAGCTTTAAATGAGGCACTAGAACAAATAGGTCTAACAGACATTTATAAAACTCTTTGCCCATAAACTGCTGCATAAACATTTTTTTCAAGAGCACATGGAACATTTTCACAAATAGACCTAATCTGGGACACAAGTCAATTGTCAATAAAACCACAAAAGACTGAAACTATATCTTGTATCTTCTCTAACTACAATATCACAAAACTAGAAATCAACTAATTTAAGAGAAAAACTATGGCGTTTAAGCAACATGCTACTTATTAGCAATTGGATAAAAGAGGAAATAAAAGAAGTTAAAACATAACATCACAACAAATGAAAATGATGTAAGTTCCAATTCTATTTACAAGGCTGGTTCTACTGGCAGCCAGCCCTAACCTTAGGTGTGGGCTACTTAATTAGCATCTCCATTAGCATAACAAAAGACACCTTAAACACCTGGATCATTTATTTTCCAAGGGTTTTAGAAGCTCAGGTCCAGAGGGGGGAATGAGACCAAATATGTATTTCTTATTATAAATCACAGTATCACATGCTGTCACCCCTTCCTTTTCAAATCAGACTCTACTGTCCCAAATTTGGAAACAATTAAAAAAGGAAACATTTGATTCTTTGCTTTTTAGTTTCCTAAAGAACCAGTTCCTCCCAACTCATTTTCAAAAAATATGTACTACTATCCTTAAATTTTTCTTTAATTGACTATCTTTGAAGAGAAAATTAACATCAAAAGAAGAGGAAAAGAGCAGGCAGGCATGAGGTAGAGGCACTGACATTGTTATAGCGCAGCCCCGATATTGAATGGGTTGCCTGGCCGTGGGTCCTCACCCGCGCGCTTACAAGGGACTTATTAATACTCCACTACAGGCACACACAAAAGGTTAATAAAAGGTTTATTTACAAGGGAAAAGGAAATAAGGAAAATGTACAACTCAGGGAGAAAATAGGGAAATAAAGTCTTTAACGCGTCCTACCCGATCCGCCGACCTGGAAACCCAAAAAGCACTCTCCGAGCTGGCCGGACACTGCGAGCTGGCGGAGAGTCAAAATGTGGGACCCCTCCAAAGCCCACGTGTCTGGCTTTATACCAACTTGGCTGCTTAACCCCACTCTCAGGTCCCAGCCACCTTCCCTTTGTGGTGATGGAATTTGGAGTTCCCAGTGTCTTCGGCTTTGGCCTGGGGTAGGGGTGAAGTCCACAAAGCCTGTATGGAATTAGCTTTAGGACATCCTTTTCCCCCTAACAGCATGAGGTAGCAAGGGGTCTGAGTCAGCAATGAGTTCTCAGTTGGCACTGGGACTTACAGGGAGCTCTCACCCTGTATGAGGTGGCAACACTGGGCTTAAAGAGACAGCTCACTGATGGTTAACAATAGGGAGATTGAGTAAAAATGTATATATTGAAGATAATGGGGCTAGGATTCTTAGTTCTGAAGGAAAAAAAGTATAATTACAGGGAAAAAAGAAAGGATTTTGTTGATTAGAACTGGAGGTATCAATGTAAACTCATGGTTTTAATATATTTATAGGCAGAAATAGACATAGATGCATATGGATTAACATAAAAATTAATACATTTCCTTGTTCTGTTCACTGAAAAGGGCTTAGAGAACAATGACATTTCAATAGCAAAGAGTATACTTACTGCCCACATCCTGGTTTTTAACCCTTTGCACTCCGCTGTCCCCTCTCAGGGGACATAGGAATTCTAGCATATCACTCGGATGTCCCCTCTCAGGGGACATTGCAATTTATTAGTGATTACGGGGAAATTGAGTTATTTCAATGCAACTTTTTGAGACATGCATGTTTCCCTGAAGTTTTATCTTGAAATGGCACAAGAAATTAAATCAAAATATCGTAAAATTACTAAGATATATACAAGAAATGTCAGCGGGTTTTGTGTCGGACGAGAACGTGAGATGCGTGCTCACGACGGTCCGAGCACTTCGCGACACCACTTGAAAAGAGCAATAAGGGGAGTTTGTAGAAGAAAGGTCGGTTTTCGAACATAGCGCTCACTGTATAGTGAGATATATAATTACAAATAAACAAGTCTACATCTGGAGGAAAAGATTTTCAAAGCTGAGCTCATTTTGGTTTGAAGCTTCGAGCAGTGCACATAGATCTAACGAGGAGAAAATCGGAAAAGTGATTCTTTTCTTAGTGAATAAATTGTTTGGTGAAAGCTATTTTGGTAAAATCATCTTGTCAGTTAGTAGTAACAATTAGAAATTTTCAACCCATGAATTTATTCATATTTTTTATTAGAACAATGGCAAAGCGTCCAACCACGAATGAGTCTCATGACACAAGTAGTAGTGAAGATGCGCTCCAGATAGACCTCTATACAGACATGTCAAACATGCACTAATCAGCCTGCAATGCATATTGGGGAGTATTATAAAACTTATACTGTACAAAATTATAAACAATAAAATATTGTTTTTTTTTGCAAATATACATTCCTCGATGTCACCCAATTCATTTAAGTCCAATATCATTATAATACGTTACTTGGTTCCAAAATTATACTAAATAATACGAGGGTCTGTAAATGCACGTTTCCGCCTCAAAGTAGCGTCGAGTACCTGGTAGCCAATGTCCAGAATGGTTCGGAGTGCAAAGTGTTAATACCATTCTCTACTAAAAAGAACTAAGGCTTCAAAAAGAAACAGCTATTCCAGGGTTAGAAAAGGGAAAGTATGAGTCTAGTATATCCTTTGTGTCAATGAATAAAGAAGTGCTCAAAGAATGATGTGAGCACATCAAAGGATCACGCCAGATTAAGAGATCAACAAATGACAGTAAAAGCTTAAGAATAAATCCAGGAGTCAACTCTAACAAGTGAATAAAGCACATCAAATCTCTTCCTCTAAGAGCAAAGACAACTAACAAATATAGAAAGAAAGATGGCATGAGAAAGTCACCATTTGGTAACAAAATAGTAATAACATGATTTAGGCAGTTAAGTGTGTTTGGGTACTGCAAGTCTGAGGAACAAGATGATCAGCATGTCTAAGCACCTTCCTTAAGACATTTAATATTTGTATACCACCTGAAGAGGTACACTGAGAAAACCACCATCAAGATCACTGGTAGAAAAAGGGTCATCAGTTGATCTACATCCTATTTTCTCCTTTTAACAGGGAATGTCCAGGAAGAAGAGACGACTGGGTGAGATCCCCTTGTAGTCTTGCTAATGTCAGATCTCCCAACGTACACATGTCCTTATTTTATAAAATGCTTTTAACAAGATACATCTGATCAGCCTCGAGTTGTTTCTGGTAGAAGAAACCTAAAATTTATGAACCTATGTGGCATAGTTGTTGGAAAAAAATACTACACGTTATGTAATTTATGAAACCATGATGGTTGTGGTAGTCTTTTCCTTTCCTGTTTTTGCTTATCTTACAAGAACTGCAGGGCAGGCTTGCAAGAGTGAAAACAGTTGGGGGCGGGGGAGTACCCCTATTCATTTTAAATGAGAAAAAGATGCTATTTTTCATAAGTCGACAAGCTATATTTCAGAGTGCAGGCCCATGCATTGTCCTCGACACGACCTCTCATTCCCCGACCTAAAAATAGCCATAAAAGATGGAACTATGATGCGTGGTTCATTATTAGATGAACAACATGCAAATGTGAATTGCTGCAGTTCTGGACCCGAATTCAAGTTACACCATGATTTAGCAGAAAGCAACCTATCAGATTCTATCCAAACACATTTTTTTATAAATTGCTTTTTGTTCCTCAGACCCATAAATACCAAAGTCCCATTCTCAGGGAGATTGATTTCAGAACTTTGCCTCCAGTCTCTTGCCAGGTAACCTTGTTTAGGTTCTTTTCTCAAAAGCTGGTGGCATGGTTTTTGACTTCTGTGCCATCAGGGAGCAGGAGCTCATCTTTGGCATATTAAAGTATAAAACTGAGAACTCCCACCTATGGTGTAAGTGATGTATCACATACACAATGCAGAGAGCCTGGGTTAAACGTGAGGCAGAGGCTCTTACCAATTTGTAAAAAGTACATAGGAGTTAGCAATTGGCACTCTTGGATTTCTCCATGTTTCACCAAAAATTATTAGTAAAGCTAAATTATGGAGAATATATTTGATTCTGTGGCTCTAGTAATCCAACCCTCTGTTTTCTCAGTCATGAAAAAAGGAGAGACGGAGGAACTCTTCCATAATGAAGAAGAGGAAGGACAGTAAAGAGACAGGTTAACTAAAAGCAAAGTGATCTTAGATTAGATTGTTGACCAATGAGGAAGAGGAATTTTCTTTGACAGAACTATAACATTACTGGGGAGCTGGAAAAATTGTAGTGAAATCTGTGGGTAAATACTGCTTCGAATATTAGTGTTTTAACTTTGATGGTTGACCATGGCTCTAGGAGAGCATGTATTTGAAATTTAGGGCTAATTAGTCATCATACCTGCAACTTACTCTTATTAAATAGTTCAGAAAAATGTCATGAAGAATGATAAAGTGTGGTATCATGTTAACAACTTAGGAATCTAAGTGCAGGTAGCAGATGAGAGGGCTCTTTACTACTATTTTAAACTTTTCTGGAAATTTGAAATTAACTTAAACTGAAAAATAAAGGTGATGATAAAAAAATACAAGGAGGAGAACAGCTCTATTATGCATCAAATAATCTTGAAATCTAGTGAAAGACACTTTATTAATTTTACCTTTTCAATTCTAAACCAGCTTTGGAAGAAGGCTGAAGAAATTCTCTGCTAGAAATGGATTCTCTGAATTCTCCAATTACTGAAAGTATAATTTTACGCATGTTTCCATAAAAGAGCTGAATATCATTTGGCCGTTGGGGAAGATCGTATACTGAAATAGAAAATGTTTGAAATAAATTAATTTTCACATAATCACTCCCCCTAAAAATCCAGATAAATCTATTTATAGTCACAGAATGTCACTTTCTTAGGTGAAGGTAGATGACATTTTGATTTTAATATTATTAATAGCATTAAGTTATAGAAAGTTCAGTGCCAGTGATTGGCAGCTCAAGTTATGGCCCTGGCTTGGACCCTTGTCAACTGTTAGCTCTGACCTCTGACTATCCTTCTAAGCAGGTTTAGTCTCTTTGAGTGTACAACAGGGATTTGATGTGTTAAAAACATCTTTAAATATATATGTGGCAACGTTTATATAAAAGCATTGTTCTAATTCCTTTATATTTTCACAAAACTCTTTAGGTAGGTATGATTATTTCGACCTCAAAGATGAAGAAACTACATTGACAAAGAGACACAATTTATATGTGGCAGCTCATAGACATTAAACTCATGCAACCTAGAGACCAGGTCCTATTAAAGTTTGAAAATTGCAAATTAATAAAATAGTCCTGGATTTGAACATCTCTAGACAAGCCCATCTGAATTTACATATAAGAACATTTCTAGAACATGCTTGTATTCTACATGTTAAATATGAAGAATCACATGCTTTAAAATGTAAATTTTAAAAGAACACAGTGTCAGTTGAATTTTATATTAATCAAGATATGTGGCCATAAGTTTCTTTAAAATTTATTGATGTATTTTTATATTGTTCGCTTTTGTACAACGTTTGATTTCTTCTCTCAGGTGTTATCTTCATAAAATTACCACCACCAAGACACCCTTGAACCATTACCATAGATTCTGCTCTTCCCTCCTCTGATGAATGTCTCAATTTATAGCTTGGCTGCTAGTTTTGTCTTTTTCTTCCCCATTGATCGCTTGTATGGTTTCCCTATGTTCTTCCTGTAAGTGAAACCAGTTTTCTTTTTCCTTCTGACTTATCTCACTGAGTATAATCCCTTCCAGCTTCATCCAGGTTGCTGCGAATGGCATTGAGTTTATCTTTTTTGATTGCTGAGTAGCATTCCATTGGTATATATACCACATCTTCTTGATCCAGTCATCTGTTTTGGGGCATTTCTGTGTTCCTCACAGCACAATTTACAATAGCTAAAATGCGGAAACATCCTAAATGCTATTTTAGCTATAGTAAATTGTGCTGTGAGTAACACAGGACTGTAAATATTAATGTTTTTGTGTCCTTTGGGTAGATTCCTATGAGTGGAATTGCTAGGTCATATGGTAGATACATTTTTAGTAATTTGAGGGTCCTCCACACAGATTTCCATAGTGGTTGGAACAGTTTGCATTCCCACCAGCAATGTAAAAGGGTTCCCTTTTCTCCATGCCAGCATTTGTTGTTGTTAGTTCTTTTAATGTGGGCCATTCTTACTGGTGTGAGGTAGTATCTCACAGTGGTTTTTATTTGCATTTTCCTGATTATAAGTGAATTTGAGCATTTTTTCATGTGCCTGTTGGCTATCTGTATTTCCTCTCTGGAGATGTGTCTTTTTAGCTTTTCTGCCCAATTTTTGACTGTATTCTTTATTCTGTTTTTGTTGAGTTGTGTATGCTCTTTGTAGATCTTTAATATCAGTCCCTTATCAGTTTTGTGGAGTGCAAATATTTTCTCCCAATCTGTGGGGAGTCTCTTCATCTTGGTCATTGTTTCTTTCACTGTACATAAGTTTTTGTTTGAAGTAGTCCCAACTGTTTATCTTTTCCCTCATTTTCTTTGTTTCCAGGGATGAGTCTTTAAGAATGTTTCTGAGATATATGTCATGGAGTGTTTTACCTGTGTTTTCTTCTATGTTTTGTATGGTTTCAAGTCTTACATTCAGGTGTTTTATCCATTTTGAATTGATCTTTGTGTACAGTGTAAAGCAGTAACCTAGTTTCATTCTTTTGCATGTAGCAGTCCAGTTTTCCCAGCACCATTTATTGAAGAGACTGCCCTTGTTCTAGTGCATATTCTTTGCTCCTTTGTCATAGATTAGTTGTCCATAGATATGTAGCTTTATGTCTGGGTTTTCAATTCGGTTCCATTGTCCTATGTGTCTTTTTTTGTTCCAGTACCATGCTGTTGTAACTACTGTGGCTTTGTAGTATATAGTCTGAAGTCTGGGAGTGTAACAGTTCCAGTCTTCCTTTTTCTAGTCAGGTGTGCTTTGGCTATTCGAGGTTTTTTTTGTGGTTCCATATGAATTTCATTAATATTTGTTCTATTTCTTTGAATACCATTGAGATTTTTATTGGAATTGCATTGAATCTGAATTGCTTTTGGTGTTAATTTTGTTTTCATGAGCAGAGAAAGTCCATTTTTTTGTATCTTCTGCTTCTTTTATGAGTATTTTGTAGTTTCTTTGTATAAGTCTTTCACCTCCATTGTGAGGTCTATTCCCAGTTAATTCATTTTTTGGGGGTAAAATTGTAAATGAGATGGTTTTCTTGATTTCTTCTTTTCAGATACATTGTTTGCAGATAGGAAGGCTACTGATTTTTGTGTGTTGATTTTTTAACCTGCTACTTTACTAAACTGATTTATTGTTTTAATTAGTTTTTTGGAGTTTTTAGGGTTCTCTCTCTATATATTATCCTACCATCCAAGAACAGTGATAGTTATACTTATTCTTTCCCTATTTGGATTCCTTGTTATGTCTTTCTCTTGCCTAATTGCTCTAGCTAGGACTTCCAGTATTATATTGAAAAGCAGTGATGAGAGTAGACATCCTTGTTTTGTTCCAGATCTTAAAAGGAAGGCTTTTAGTTTCTCACCATTAAGAATGATATGGCTATAGGTCTATCATATGTTTTTTATTACTCCTTTTATTCTAAGAATTTCAAGGGTCTTCATCATAAATGGATGCTGGACTTTTTCAAATGCTTTCTCAGCATCTATTGACATGATCATATGGTTCTTGTTTTTCTTTTTGTTGATGTGGTGAATTACATTAATTGCTTTCGGATGTTGGACCATCCTTGTGTCCCTGGTATAAATCCCACTTGGTCATGATGCATTATCCTTTTGATGCATTATTGGATTCAACATGCTAGGATTTTGTTGAGTATTTTTGGATCTGTGTTCATTATGGAGATTGGGCTGTAGTTTTCTTTTTTTATGTTCTTTGTTTGGTTTAGGTATTAGCGTATTGTTGGCTTCATAAAATGTACTTGGTAGTACTTCTTCTTTCTCATTTTTTATGAAGCATTTTTGTAGGATAGGCACCAGTTCATCTTTGAATGTTTGGTAGAACTCATTTGCGAAACTATCTTGTCATGGGCTTTTGTTTTTGGGGAGGGATTTGATTATTGTTTCAATTTCATTACTTGTAATTGGTTTGCTTAGATTTTCTATTTATTGAGCTTTGGATGCATATATGGTTTTAAGAATCTGTTCACCTCATCTAAATTGTTGAACTTATCTGTATAAAACTATTCGTAATAATGTCTAATTATCCTCTTGTAATTTCTTTTACTTGTGATTTTATTTATTTGAGTTTTCTCCTTTTCTTTGTGAGCGCAGCTAAAGGTTTGTCTATTTTTTTTTTTTAAAGAAACAGCTTTTGGTTTCATTGATCTTTAGCATTTTTTTTTTTAATTTATATTTCATTTATTTCTGCTTGGATTTCTATTATTTCCTTTCTTCTAGTGGTTTTTGGGTCTTTTTGTTGTTCTTTTTCTAGTGCTTTGAGATGACAGATTAGGTTGTTTTTATGGATTCTTTTTTGTTTCTTGATGTGGGCCTGTATTGCTATATACTTTCATCTTATTACTGCTTTTGCTATGTCCTATCTATTCTGGAAAGTTGTGTCTTCTTTGTCATTTGTCTCAATGTATTTCTTAATTTTTTCTTTGATTTCCTCATTGACCCAGTGGTATTTCAGTAGCATGTTCTTCACTCTCCATTTGACGGCGTTTCTTGTTTTCTTTTCGTAGTTGATGTCTAGTTTGATGCCTTTATGGCCAGAGAAGATGGTTGGTATGATTTCAATCTTTGTGTATTTGTTGTTTGTCTTGTGGTCTTAAGAGAATAATCCATGTGCACTTGAGAAGAATGGGTATTCTGTGTTTTTTGGGTGTAGTGTCTTAACATATGTCTATTTGGCCCATATGTTCTAGGATCTGATCATAGAAGCTTAAATCAACTGTGAAAATATTTGGCACTAATTACACATTCTACAAAAGTGAGATTACAGATACTTGCAATAGTAATATGCTCAAATAAAAGACGCTAAAATAAATGTCATTTTCATGTAACATTAGTATCAGTTTTAAAGTCATCATGCAAAAAATTAAACTGCAGCATTCTCATAGGTGATCCACTGTAGTAAACAATATATGGAACCCAGTATTCCCCAGGGTGGAATCTGGCATCCAACAGACCTATGAGAACTACAAACTCAATCCCATCTTAGATGAGTGATTTGGCATGTTACTCAAGCTCGTGCTTGAGTTTGTCAATACAACCATTAATAGAGTAACACAATTCTCACTGCTTGAATTTTACGCATGCAGCTTTCCCTCCCTTGAACATACTTCTCCATCCTGGTCTCCATTTTCACAATGTTTATTCTTTTTCACTCCCCTCTTTAACATTACCACCTGAAATTCTACCTTCAGAACATTATTACTGTTAATATTTGGTGCTATTTTATTTTTAGCCAAATGAAATTATGCAAACTTTAAAAAAGGTTCCCTTAATAAGTGAAGAGCTTTTAATATAGTCATTTAATATAAAAGTGTAATATTGCCTTAATGGCTTCAAAGTATGCTTGCATAATTAAACAACTTCTTATTCTTGGTTTACTTCTTAATTCTGACATCTTGATATTATAAACAATAAGGTGGTGAAAATCTGTACATATATTTTTATATCTCAATACTTTTTTTTTGTATCAGTAACACACACCATTAAATACCTGAATACAGCTCAAATAGGACTACATATCTTTCACTCACCATTATCTATTTGGGATTCTTTTTGCCATCACCACATCCTCTATAAATTGTATAGTGTAACACATAAATCTCAAACTGAGTGTAAGTTGGCAATCATTAAATCTTAAATAGTAACTCCTTTGAGTTTAATAATAACCATTCTCCTCCTGTTTACAGTTCTACCCATAAAGGATATGCAACAATATACTAATAATATCTTACATTTACACAACAAAGTTCTCTCATTTTATCTTCAAAACAACTCTGTATGAGTGAGAAGCAAGACATTCTTCTCATTTTACAGATAAGGAAACTAAATTTCAGTGATATAATTGGTTGAAAATCACATAGTAGATTTGTGGCTCAATCTTGGTCTTATGCCTTATCTAAGCACTCTTCCTTCTCAGAGCACATCAACAGACTGTGCTATCACTACAGGCAAGCCAGGTCATATGATTTAAAAAAAAAAAATTGGAGTGAAAAATTAAAAAGACAATTAAAACATACTGAGATTCTTACCTTCAGTTACTAGTAGCTCATCTTGAAATGGTTCAGCAAAATCTATTTTCCGAAGTACACTATGTTCTGGAAGTATACGTTCCATAATCCCCGGTTTATGCAACAAGGCTCTGTGAGTAGAGATTTTTATTCAAAAGTGGTTTTACATATAAAATCACCTTTTTAGATTTTGAATATTTAGCATATCCCACTAATAATACGACACATTAGAAATATATAGCTCAAGACTTAAGTCCTAAAGTTGGTCATTTTAAAAAGAAAATCTGTTTTGGAAGTTCCCTAAATTATATATGTTAGAACAATAATCAGTTTCAATTTAATGTTAACATCAAAACAAGAAATCCCTGATGTAGTAGTAGAAAGAAAAACAAAATTAAAATCTTTTCAGGTCTTACAATTTCATTATTTGTGACAATTTGATCATAATTGGAAATGTCTCAGAAAAAAAAAATGCCAAGAAAATAATACAAAGAAGGTATCAGAGGAGATTAAACTACCATGCAACTGTTTATTGTCTTCTGGAGAATCTGAGAGAACTGAAATGTAAATTTCTCTGTAACACTCAGATGTTCATAAATAAAACAAATCCTATTATTGCAAATTTGTAGCGGAGGAGTCTTTTATCCAATTAGAGAGAGGAAACAAAACAAAATACCTGGTAATCTAATTTATCCAAATGTTAGTTTCCATTTCTAAAATACTTAATTGACAAACAACAAAGTTCAAAGTTGAGCTCTTCACATTTGATTAGTTTTAACATCATGTAGCAACACAGCTTTCTCTTATTTCATATGCATGGTCACCTCCCCCACCAGAAGTTAATCATTTCCCATTAACAGATAAAATGGTCACTTATTTAGGTCCTCTAGGAGACAATTCTTTTTTTTTTTTTTTAAGATTTATTTTTTATTTATACAAGAGCCGGGATACAAGCCAGATGAGCAGGAGGGTGAGAGGATTCACCAGAGATAGAGTGGGGAACAGAACAGGCAGACTGACGAAATACACTGCTGAGGGGAGCAGCAGGCGAGACAGGAGAGGTCTGCTTGCCATGTGGGTTGCTCCGAGGCTGGTGGGGATTGAACCAGCACTGCAGAGGCTGCTGACAGCTTCACAGTGCTGCGCTCAACCGCTTGCGCCACCAGGAAGGCCCCTTCTAGGAGACAATTCTAAATTCAATATACAAAAGTGTTTCTTTTCTGTTTAAATAGACCTATACCTAAGTATATATTTGACAGCATTTCAGCATATTAAACTATATTTAAATTAGATGTACCAAATCTTCTGGAGGTACATACTTTAAGTAGATAGTTGAGTTAAATACTCTACATATACACTTCTAATATACAACTTGATCTTTTCATATAAAGATGGTCATATAAAGTAAGACTACTGTTTAAGTAAAGGAGAAGGGGCATGATACATATGTCTAGAAAGGAAAGCATATTAGAAGCAGAAGATGAATGTCCTACAGGTATTTCTTCCTCACATTATGGTAGCTTATCACCTACACAAATCTTACCAAGATTTTGCCTACCAGTTCATTCACAAGTAGTGAAATGCTTTAAAAATTCCAAATGCCAAATCATTTATTAAGCCTTCTTTATTTCTACTGAATAGTTTCCAACCTCATCTAAGATAAGTAACCTACCTTTGAAACTGCTGCCTTGAAATTTCATCTCCACCAAAGAAGTAGATAGTTGACAGTTCTGTAGTGGTTTTAAAACTGCTCTCTCTGTGTGATGGATTATATATTATAGTAACATCCTGATGTCAAGAAAAAAGAGTGACTATGAAATATTTTCCTTGAATAAGTCATTTCACTCTGTAAACTACAGTATCAGACTAAACAGTCAATACAGACAAAAAATACACATACGTAACATTTCCAAGGTTAGATAAGTACTGCTATTCCTATATTACTTTGAAATAATATTTTAGTCATGAAGTAAATAATAATTAATTTAACCAAAAAACGAGTTCATATTTTAACCTAAAAAAATATTATTTACTGAGTAAAAGGGTACAAAAATTTGATGCTTACTTCTTGTGTTCCTTCCTTCAGCACAAATTTATCTGGAAAAATCTTTAGTATTTTAGAATCCAGCAAAACTTTTCTCTGAGAATCCTTAAAACACACTACTTTAACAAAAGCTGCCCGAGAACCAGTGTTACGAACAGAAAAAACAGTTCTACTTTCTTTGCCAGGTATTAAGTCTTTTACTGTTACCATGTAACTGTCAGGTAACTTTTTAACATCTTCCAAAATAAGATTACTTGTTCCTCCATATCCAGACAAAGGAATCTTAAAAACAAAAACAAAAAAACAGAACATACACATCCAAAATTACTTGCAGTTAGGCATACAGAAGATTAAATTAATCAAAGATAAAACTGTTGATTTTTAATATGTAAGTGAATTTAATTAAAATCATTAATCTTTGTGTACTTTGGTTGGTAGTTACACCATTATATCAAAGATTTTGTCTTAAGAGAAAAATAAATCAAAGAGCAACAAAATTATTTACCTTCCAATACACTGAAAACAATCATGTCATTGTTAGAAAAGTCAAGCTCAGGGGACAAAAGAGTAATTACAAAGATCAGTATAGGTAAACTTAAGAAGGTATTAGAGGGCCTCTCTGGTAGCCCAGGGGTTAAGTCTCAGCGCCATCACCTCTGAGTCCTGAGTTCTATTCTGGCCAGGGAGCTAACCCACATGGTGCAGCAGACCTCTCCTATCTCGCTCACTGCTCTTCTTGGCAGTATATTTCAGTAAAATCTGCCTGTTCTGCTCCCCATTCTGTCTCTGGTGATTCCTCTAACCCCCCCACACCTCTCACCTGTACCGCAGTTCTTCTACGTATAAATAAGAAAAAAAAAAGTGAAGTAAAAGATACTGATGTTTGTAATTTACATCGAAATGCATTTAAGAACTGATGAATGTTCAGATATGTTATTAAGAGATATATAGACGATATTAATTGTAGAATCTAAGTGGTAGGATAAACGAATGTTTATCTTGTAATTCTTTCAACTTCCCAGCAATTCTCAATTTCCAACATGAAAAATTTGGGGGGTAAAATCTACAATCACATAATCCTGGGAGCTTTCTATGTAGCAGAATTAGAAAGAAGCATGTCAAAGGAACCAAATAGAAGCTAAATCAGATACCCTGGCCGGGGAGGGTTGGGGTAGAAAGGGGAACAGACTGGTGCACCTCAGGGTCAGGCTGTTCACAGGAATTCACACAATAAACTGTAAATTAGAAATGTAGGAATTAGGTACCCCAGTGAAAAAACTAACTTTTCATATCCATCAAAGTACATTCCTTTAAAACTATCTTTCATTGCTAACTATTAAAGGGGCTCCAAAGAATTCCTTGCAAATTTGAGAACATGCATAGTTTATCTGAAGTTCTGTCATGGACTTAACCAAAATAATATTTTGAAAAATTAAATTTCGGCTCCTCATAAATTTGTTTTGGCTTATCTTCTAATGCAAATTAACAGCATTTTAAAGGGCTTCAGATGTGACGCGCTCCTACAAATCCCACCTCATTCAAAGTAAGTTCTGCTTGTTTTAAGAGACTAAAATATTTCTAAATTTTTCTTTTCCCACAGACACTTGCAAATAAATTTTACATATGAAGCAAGAAAAGGGAAAAAGTTGGCTTTTGAAAACACTCAATGTTTAAGACTAAAAGTCATAAATAACTACTAAAATATTAAGAAAATAATAAAGTTTCTAAGGCTTGCAGTCAAAGAATCAACAGAAAAATCAGCACTTCAGAGCAGGCTTCCTTAAGCCCAGCACTATGAACATTCTGAGTGGACCACTCATTGTGGGGAGGGCTATCCTATACAATGTAGGATGTTGAGCTGAATCCCTGTCTCCACACACTAGGTGTCCATTGCACTGTTTTCCCACCCCCAGTTCTGATAATCCTAATTGTCTCCAGAAATTACCAAATGTCAAGTGAAGAGTACAACAGCCTCGGGTTGAGAATCACCACCAACAGCATATACAATAAAGAAAAATGTAGTCTATGGGGACAGGTAGCTTGAATTTGAATCCAACCTGAACCACGTATTTGCATGTAGATGCATGATAGGACAGACATCTCTCTAGGTCTCAGCGTCCACACATGTGTAGCATAAAAAAGGATGATTTCAGATAACTGTGTTGTAAAGACAGTGATTAGTAGTAGTGCCTGACATATACTCAGTATGTAATAAATAGGTTTTTATTGTAGTCCTGTATTTCTCAGTGGTATATACAGCATAGATAATTTCATTTTTTCCTCAAAACAAAATCAGAGAGTTGGGGTGGCAAGTAGCTGAATTGAGGATAAGAGAGTGAAGCTACAGATCCAGGGTGAGTGAGGAACATAGACAAGGTAATCCCTAAATGTCTCATCCCTGGAGCAAAAAGCTCTTCCACTGCCACATGAGGCTGCTTTTCTCACAAAGATATTCTTGTAAGATAAAAGCCATATTCATCCCCAGTCAGTCCACCTCTGAAAGATGGCCATTTACCAGGCAGGATTTCTAGAAGGATCCTGGATTGTCTGAAGAGTATATCAATCCAAAATGCTTGGTTCACTGTCAAATCAAATGATTCTGCCCCACCACCAGGAATTAGTAGTTCTCCAAAGACGCAAAATCTTGGTTAGTAAACCTAAAACTAGTCTAAATATATTCAGGAAAGTATGAAAGATACAGTCCATTGAGTCCTCTCTAAACCACTTGATCCTTATTTGAGAACAGATCATCAAAGCACTGTGCACCATATGCTGGTATAGATTCTGGCCCAAATGTAAATGCTAGTTCTAAAAATGATCACTTACATCTTTTAACAGTTGTGCCCACTGTAACTCAGGGGGTCAGATGAGAGGCTCTACAGAGAATACAGCAAACTCCAGTGCCAAAGAAAACTATATTTGTCATAACTATCCCCTTCGCCTTTAAAAAAATTTTAGGTATTAGGTATCTTAAAGTTTGTCATATTTCCTCTTTGTTACTAGGTAACAACCAAATTTTAGTTTCGGCCCTATTGCCAAACAATGGTGCAATTTTAGGGTATGCACTTTTACATAGCAAGATCTATTTAAATACCTTGTCCTTCTTTCCTTTTTGCAACGATTTATCATTTTTGGCTCTTACTGCTCTCAATGAATCTATTGAAATTGATTTAACATGTTTTTAAAATTACACTAGGAAGAAAAAACATATAAGAACTCTTGTCTTTTTATACCTTGTATTGAGAACAGAATCTAACAAAAGTTGTCAATGGGTTTTTCCTTGACTTCGAAAGTCAACACCAAGTAGTTCTATCTGGATTTAACAAAAACTGTGTTCCTAAAGTTGGGTACATTTCAAAATTCTCAAACTAGAAAACTTAAAAGCACTAGAAGATCACTTACAGAAATACAATAGTGGCTACTTTTATAACATGACTATTCTACCAAGTATGTAGTGATTTCTGAACTTGTGTGTACAAGTAGGCAATCACATATTCTGACTTATAAAAAACAGAGTACATATACTTTACTATTATTAAACTAAAAGTTGTAACATGTCAAAACTCCATGGGAGAAAAAAGCAATAACATTATCTTACAGCAAACTTAACGCCTGGTTGTGATCGAATTCCAAGTTGTTTAATTTCTAGTTTAGCCAACATGCAAGATAATCGAGTAGGTGCAAACAATATGGAGATGTTGATGTCTTCTTTTGGATGAATTCTGATCTCATAGTTACTGGTCAATCGTTCTTCCGAACCAAAAGTGTGATGAAGCTAAAATTTAAAAACAATCACTGCATAACTCAAAACAGCAGGATAAATAAAACATACCATTAACACAAAATCTTCAAAAAGAGATTGAATAATACAAAATGGCCTGCTAATATTATAAAGTGTTTAGGATCCAGACAGGGTATAAAACAGAACAAAACCATGTACTCTACAAACCTGAAAGCAGTCCTGATCTTGTCCTCTAATGAGCAGTCGTAAATGTTGGGTTATAGATGGAGAATTATTTCTTAAGGTTAGTTTCTGAAGCCTAAAAACAATCACACATTTAAAATGTGGTTATTCTCCATGGTTACTGCTCCCATTGCAAAATCAAAGTCAATTAAAATCAATTACACTGTTTGGAGATAGACTGATTGACATGCCATTTTAGCAGCCTGGAAATGTCTCCCCATAGTCCTATACTCTACACTCAGGAAACCACACATTCAAGAGAACTCTATCAGAGAAGTCTGTTTTAATCTCTTTTCTATTATAGCTATTTAGCTGTCTTTATCATATCTACTATATAGGTATTACCTATCTTATAAAACATTAATCAGTGAAAATTCAGATTAACAAATTCACTGAGTCAGTAAATCAGTATCATGCTAATGGGAGGAGAGAAAATAGCAAGTTTCATTTTGAGTAGTCTTTTCTTTTTTTTAAAGATTTTATTTATTTTTGCATAAAAGCCCCGAGGTGTAGGCCAGAGGAACAGGATATGAGGAACAGGGTATGAGAGGATTCACCAGAAAGAGTGGGAGAACAGGCAGATCTACTGAAATACACTCCTGAGGGGAACAGCAGGCAAGACAGAAGAGGTCTGCTGAGCCATATGTGGGTAGCTCCCTGGTGGGGAATGGAACTCAGGTCACAAAGGGGTGATAGGTGATAGCACTGAGACTTAAACCCTGCTCCACCAGGGAGGCTGACAGTGTATCTCTTTGTCATAACCTCTGCTACAGCATACTTACAGAGGATTAGCAGGAGTTATGTGTAGTGGGGAAAAGTATTAATTTATGCAAGGCACCAAGATGGGGGTGAGAAGAACAAAAGAAACACAAATCCTTAATTTAACTAGGTACTGCACTTTACATACACCAGTACACATAGATCTCCATTTCATGTTTTGAAATTGCTACTTTTCACAAGCCTACTTACAGCCACCCTGGGCATGCCATCAACTGACTAGGTCATAGAGCCCTTCTTCTAACACTGGCACACTCCCCTCCAGGCTGAGGTAAGACCTCTAACCTATACTTGTATCTATTAGATTAGAGTAAGCCCAAGAATTTCCATGAGGAAGAGAAGTCAAGAAATAAAGGATATTCTGAAGGCCATTCACTCAGGCCAAGGTCAGGAAACGATGCCACCGCCAAGTCCAAAAGTATGCACAACACAGTGCCCCTGTTCTCACTTGAATGTAATTTTTATTCAAACAAAAAAAAGTTTAGCATCTGTTAATTTGTTTTAGATGAGCTGTGAATGGGATTTCAAGATGGTATGGCATCTGAGGATCAGCTGTATTTCAACAACAGTCATCTCTACCATATCAATCATGTTAGAAATCTTATCATGAGGTAAGGAATTCTGTCAGGAACAACACAAGGATGATGATGGCTCTTTCCTGAGTATTATTCAGCTGTTGCCTTAATGGACAAGGTCAGTTAAAGGATAAGCTATGTATCAATGGGGACACACTTTCCAGAGTCTGCCTCTTATTAAACATGCCACAGATGTTCCCCCCCCGCCCCCGCTTTTATTTAAATAGACATTGATGGCTAAGCAGAAAAGTTGAATTATTTTGGTTACCTTCCATAGCACAGGACTTAAAAGCCTCAATCAAATATTTGTATATATATAAATATATATACATATACATATATATATATATATATATATATATATATATGTTAAAAGTGATCACAAATCAACTATTTGGAGGAAACATTTGGCAGATAAAATACTATCCAGACACTAATGTACAAATACAGAAAACCTTCTATACTAGCACATGTCCTCATTCAGCCTCTTACTTCAGCATCTATGCCAATCCTTAACTGACTGCAAGATGCATCTGACACATAAGCTACAACACAGGAGCTACTGAAGAGGGAGAAGTACCACTCAGGCATGTTCAGAAGCCTAGCTGAGAAATCTTAGCCAAGAGCTACTCAAAGTACCCATTCTTCCAAGTGACTTAGTGATCACAAACCACCACCTGCTTCAGTACCCAGAGAGCGCTGTCTGCTGTGTGTTAAGATGTGCCAGCCCAGACATGTGACATGCCCAGAACCACTGAATTGAGAGCTTACTTATAAGAGTATGTACTGCAAAGCTGGTTTTCTTTGAGACTTTATTAGACATATTTCTTCATTTCTCTGGAAAAGAGTCTATAGCAGAGTAGGACACACTTTCTCATACTCCACTGGCTTGTTATGAACCTCTGAATGCTGAATGCTGATTTGTCTTTTGGTGACACAAAGCCAAGCTCAAGACCTGAACACAGGCAAGTAAGTGTCCAGGGCTCATCCTACCAAAAGCAATTTACAGATTTAATGCTATTCCAATAAAAATTTCAATGACATTCTTCATAAAAACAGAACAAATACTGATAAAATACATATGGAGCCACCAAAAACCCCAAATACCCAAAGCTCTCCTGAAAAAAAAGGAGGGAATGGAGGCATCACATGCCCAGATTTCAAACTATACTACAAAGCCATAATCATCAAAACTGCATAGTATTGGAACAAGAACAGACACACAAACCAATGGAACTGAATAGAAAATCCAGAAATAAACCCACTGACTTACAGTCAACTAATCTTTGACAAAGGAGCAAACAATATGCACTGGAGCAAAGAAAGTTTGTCCAATAAACGGTGCTGGGAAAACTGGGTTGCTACATGCAAAAGAATGAAACTTGACTACTACCTCACACCATGCACAAAAAACAACTCAAAATGGATTAAAGAAATAGACATAAGACCTGAAAACATAAAATATGTAGAAGGAAATATAGGCGAAACACTAGAAGACATGCACCTCAAAGACATCTTTACATACACATCACCCAAAGCAGTGATAGTGAAGGCAAAGATAAACAGCTGGAACTACATCAAATTAAAAAGCTTCTGTACAGCAAAAGAGACAATAACCAAAACAAAGAGAAACCCCACTGACTGGGAGAAAATTTTTGCACACAACACTAATGATAGAGGACTGATCACAAAAATCTACAAAGCACAGATGAGACTCAACAAAAACAAAGTAAATAATCCAGTCAAAAAATGGGCAGAAGAGCTAAAAAGAAACTTCTCTGAAGAGGAAATGCAAATGGCCAACAGGCATATGAAAAAATGTTCACCATCACTTGTAATCGGGGAAATGCAAATGACTTATTTTGCTGAGCATGATCCCTTCTAGCTCCATCCATGTTGCTGCAAACTGCATGTGTTTATTTGTTTTGATTGTTGAGTAATATTCCATTGTGTATATGAACCACATCTTCTTGATCCAGTCATCTATTTTTGGGCATTTGGGTTGTTTCCATAGTTTAGCTATTGTAAATAGTGCTGCTATAAACATAGGGGTGCAGGTGCCCTTTGCAATTACTGTTTCTGTGTCATTTGGGTAAATTCCTAGGAGTGGAATTGCTGGATCATATGGAAGCTCTACGTTTAGTAGGACAAGAAATCTCCACAGCTCTCCATAGTGGTTGGACCAATTTGCACTCCCACCAGCAATGCAGGAGAGTTCCTTTTTCTCCACAACCTAGCCAACATTTGTTGTCGCTAGTTTTTTTTAATATGTGCCATTCTCACTGGTGTAAGATGGTATCTCATTGTAGGTTTGATTTGCATTTCCCTGATTACAAGTGATATAGAACATTTTTTCATATGCCTGTTGGCCATTTGCATTTCTTCTTCAGAGAAGTTTCTTTTTAGCTCTTCTGCCCATTTTTTGACCGGATTATTTTCTTTGTTTTTGTTGAGTTTCATCAGCTCTTTGTAGATTTTTGTGATCAGTCCTTTATCATTAGTGTTGTGTGCAAATAAGTCAGAAAGAAAAAGAAAAATACCGGATGGTCTCACTCATAGCAGGAATTTAGAAAACCTAAATAAGAGCCCAGGAAAAAGACTAATCAATACAAAGTAAAAATCAAAATCAACAAGCAACTATAAACCAGAGACACACTAGAGGGGTGGGGGGAGGGGCGGGGAAAGGAAGGACTAGAGTCAAAATAAGGAGGGGGCGGGGTGCAATTGTATGGGGAATATAACCAAAACGAAAATGCATACATTGTGCAAAGATGAAAAAAGATGTAAGAATTATATAAAATATTTAAATTAAAAAAAAAGTACAATAAGATACCATCCTACACCAGTGAGAACGGCACACATTAAAAAAACCAGCAACAACAAATGTTGGCAAGGATGTGGAGAAAAAGGAACTCTCCTGCACTGCTGGTGGGAGTGCAAAATAGTCCACTATGGAAAGCTGTGTGGAGATTCCTCAACCTACAAAAGATATAGCTTCCATATGATCCAGCAATTCCACTCCTAGGAATTTACCCAAATGACACAGAAACATTAATTCCAAAGGGCACCTGCACCCCTAGTTTATAGCAGCACTATTTACAATAGCTAAGCTATGGAAACAACCCAAATGCCCAAAAATAGATGACTGGATCAAGAAGATGTGGTTCATATACACAATGGAATATTACTCAGCAATCAAAAAAGATAAACTCATGCAATTTGCAGCAACATGGATGGCACCTGAAGGGATCATGCTCAGCGAAATAAGCCAGAAAGAAAAAGAAAAATATTGGATGATCTCACTCATTGCAGGAATTTATAAAATCTAAATAAGAGACCAGGAAAAAGACTCATTATAATAAAGAAAAACTAAAATCAACAAGCAACTATAAACCAGAGACATGCAAACAGGGGCGGGGAGAAGACGAGAGATCAAGGCCAAAATAAGGGGGGGTGGGAATTGTACGGGGAATATAACCAAAATGAAAATGCACACACTGTGCAAAAATGAAAAATGATGTAAGAATTATGTAAAATAAAATAAAATATTAAAAAAAAGAATTTCACACTGGGAACATCGCAAATGTTCATAAACTAAATTAAAAAAATGGGGAGGGGGATTAAAGAAGGACAAAGTACCAAATGGACAAGCCTCAAGAAACTGTTAAATGAAGTCACAAAAGACCTTGTATTATAGGATTCGGCTTACATGAAATGTCCTGAAAGGTAAAAATGGAGAGAGAGAAAGCAAATTACTGGTGTCATGATGTTGAGGGCTGGGGATAGGGACTGACTGGAATTGAGTATGTGAGATCATTTTGGTATAATGGAAATGTGTTAACACTACATTATTGTCATGACTGCACAACTTCCTTAATTTACCACAATATATTTAATTATGTTTTCAATATGTGAGTTCTATGTATGTTAAAATGCAATAAAGCTATAAAAGCATGATAGTTAACATGAAAAAAAAAAAGTGTTCAAGGACTCCAGGTGCCTCATCTCCCAGAAAGGCCACTTATCACTTAATTGTTTTTATTTCACTCTGACTTTTTGAAAGTTGCTTTTGGAAAAAGACAACGCACAGATGACTACACAGATGGTTATACAGATGGATGAAAGCTATAAATCAAACTGCTTGATTATGTTCTTTGTGCACTGACAAACTATAAATTTAAAGCAGAAACTTCTTCACATTTATAGCAGAAATAAAGCCATAAGCTTATCTACAGAAATGTATTAATAAGGGGGTTGAGAATTGTATGGGGACTATAACCAGCATGAAATGCAAAAATGAAAAATGTTGTAAAAAATATATAAAATGAAAAAAAAATTTAAAAAATTAAAAAAAAAAAAACCACAAAAGTGAAAAAAACAAGTGTTAACTCAGGTTTAATAACTTACCTAGGTTGTAAATTAGAAGTGTTTATTGTCTGAGGTTGGTTAAAAAATTAGCTGTCTCTAAACTTATAAAGGAAAATATATTCTATACATTACATATTATATGCCAGTGTTATTTATTAACTCAGTGAACCATAATGTATAATCAAAGTAAATATAAAATTAAATCATAGATACAACCCAACATTATTATCTGCTCTAACTAGAGGCCCCTTCTACTCTTTATTGTTTTTTTTTTAAAGATTCATTTATTTTATTTATTTATACAAGCACTGGATACAGTCAGAAGCACGGGAGGGTGAGAGAATTCACCAGAGCCAGAGCGGAAAGCAGAACAGGCAGGGTGACGAAGTACACTGCTGAGGGGAGAAGCAGGCGGCAGAAGAGGTCTGCGCACCATGTGGGACTCTCGCCGGTGGCCTGGGATCGAACCTGTGCTGCAGAGGCTACAGGCAGCCTCGCAGCCCAGCGCTCAACCGCTGCGCCACCAGGGAGGCCCCCCTTCTACTCTTTATAATGTGAAGTAGTCATCAATTAGATTGTAAACTTCTAACAGAACACAATCTCTGTGATTATTTTTTCTTTCTACCTATTCATTGTGCTTTCCAAAAAGGAACCGATATTCTTAATTGCCTACATTTGGTAATTAGCAGAGAATTCACCAAAAACTTAAGAAAATGAAAACTGTTTTTTGGGATTCCATTTTAAAAAGTGGAGAAAATTTTAATTAAAAATTTAAATTCATAAAGTTCAATTCATGATTAGAAGACTAAGGAATATAAGATAAATTTAATTCTAAAAAGAGTAATGTAGTCATAATTAACACAGCAGAGAAGAACATTAGGTCATGTGCCACTACGTGCATAGTGAATTACTATGTGCATACTTACTGTGTTCTACCAAGAGGAATACCTCCCCAAGTCAGAAACTGCTTGTTGGATAAAATTGATGGAACATCTGAGGAGCAACATCCAGGTGTCAGAGGTTTATTTTCTGAAGAAACTACTTCACCTTTTAACATTACTTCATACTGAGGCCCAAATGGTTGCACAAATATCCTCAAGATCCTAACAGAAAACAATATAAACTGAATGTTCAGAATTCAATTCTTTCAGCAACTATCTCCTACACACTTCCTTCGTCTGACAGACTGAATCAGATATTGAGGATACAGTGACATCCCCACAATTCCTTCTATTTCAAAGGAGAGCTTTCAGATCGGGAAAGAGACTGTCACAATACCACCTTCGAGGTGGGAAAGGGACTTACTTATGGAATACAGGAATAAACAAATACTATTTATGAGGAAGGTCAGAAGCATTGAGCAAAGCTTCTCAGATGAAGGTGCTAACACAGTGAAACTGAGAGCAAGGGTTGTTGCAGGCACAAATACTGACATTTGTGAAAGCAAGCTCTTCACTTGTAAGGTCATAAAGGCAGAGTGAGCCCACTAAGATGTTGTATTACCAACAGGGGACAGGCCAAGTGGTTTTAGGACCCTAGGTTGGGTTTATCAATCAAGTTCAAATAGTAATGGTGCTCTGACCATCGTAGGGGGATGACATTTACTTATGATTTGGGTGCTAAAAAGTCTCAGGGCTGGGGCCTCCCTGTTGGCACAAGGATTAAAAGCCTCAGCGCTATCAAGCTATTGACAGTCACTGCGGTATGAGTTCAATCCTGGCCTGGGAACTAACCCACATGGCGCAGCAGACCTGTCCTGTCTCACCCACTGCTCCCCTCAGCAGTATATTTCAGTAAATCTGCCTGTTCTGCCCCCCACTCTTTCTGGTGAATCTTTTCACCCCCCTGCACCTACACTCCAGTTCTTGTATGCATAAATAAATAAAAATCTTAAAAATAAAGTCTCAGGGCTGAAGAAAAGTATCATAACACCAGGCAAGGTCAACCAATGGTTCCTTTGGAGAAAAAAAGTTAATGAGAAACACGAAAATTGACATTATTTATGTTTGTAAGAATATACTTGGAAATAGCGATTTCTTAATTTCTAGTCAGCTGGCTTAAAAGACTTTTAACAAAAAAAAACGAAGAAAAGCTGAAGCCAAATGAAAAATGCTAACAAAGCTATACCAGCCAGTAGACAAGGTAAATATGTATTTTATCCTTCATGCTTTAGATTACAGGATATCTAAGTAAGTGGTTGTTTCGATAAATGAATGAAAACTTGGCATTCTAAACAATCTTTTTTAATCTTACCTTTCCTCACAGGTTTTGGGATCCTCTGGAGTAAATAAAACCATTATTTCATGTTCTTCTCCAGGTTTAAGGAATAGCTTCTCTGGATCCACTGAAAAGGAACCTCCTTGATCTGGAATCTAAATATTTATAAAATTATTATTAAATGCCAACTTATAAACTATGACTTTTACTCAGTGTAGGGTAAATGGTTTTTCAGGCTTTCTGCCCTCCCACCATTAGGTTTGCCCTGCCTGATGGGGCACCTGCAGTTGTTACATTGTTGCTAACTGACTTACATACTTCTGTGGGCCAAGGGAGGAGTATTGAGGTAGTCACCAGAGTATCAGGAAAGAAGCAGGAGAATGGAGGAGAGAAGAGGACAGAGAAGCCCAGAGTGAGCACTTACTGGGGGCTTGGAGGCCTGTGTGCCTCCTGGCCCCCTGGCATCCCTGCCTGCTGTGTACCTGGTTGCTGCAATGCATGTAAAGCTCAATAAAAGCCTGAGAAACCCCCCGATGGCTCCAGGATTCCTTCTTTACCCAGTGGCCAGATCAGAAAACCTGCTCTGTGTCATTCCTGACCCGACACTCAGTTACTCTCCTGCTCATATACACCTTTCCTATTTACTGAGGTTATTTTTTTTCTTTCTTGCCAATCACTGTCCCACCACCTGGTCTTATCCTCTTGGAATGAAACTTCTTTCTCCTTCCACTTTCTTAGCAAACATTCCTCACTGCTGATGACTGACACCCTCTCACTTACCTACACATCTAAGAATAATGTTTACCTGTGTAGCTCACTTTCCTCAAATGCTACCTAATCACAGGTAACACACATTTTTCAGAATTAATGCAGAACTCACTTCTACATTAATCACTAAATGTTCAAGTTAAAAGTTCTTCATCTCTATACTAAGGTAACACCCTGCTCAAAAGTACTTACACAGATTGCTAGATTTGCTGCCACCCTCCCCCCATTCTAACAAGGCAGGATGTTTCAGAATATGGAGGTACTCATTGTCTCATACTCTGAGGAAAAGCTATATTAGAGCACAATGACAAATTCTTACCTTGATATCTAAATAAACATCAATATTCCCAGCATTTTTCAAAGGCAAATGCTGCTTTGTTGAGGAAGCCACACTGGCAAACAAATGCATAGTCTAGAGGATGGAGCAAAGCAGGCACTTAAAAAAAACTGTCACAGTTAGAATGAAATCAACCTGAATATAAAATCATGACAAAGAGTTTAGAGTACCTGTAAGTCTTTTGGCGCGTGTATCCTAGCTATTCCTGCTCTTGCTCGAAGATGAATACTTTTAATGACTGGTGTTGGGTTAGGGCTATCAACTTCTATATCAACTCTTGCCAAGAATTCTTCTGCTGAATCTAGAATTGCTATAAAATTTCATTCTTTTCATCAGACACCAGAGTTACTTAATTCTAAATTCTGAACCAAGGCATGCCATTTTTAAAACAAATTTCTTAAAGCATTTACATGTAATAATAGACTAGTCTTGACTTTGTAGTTCATTTAACTATAGAATAAAAGCAATTTCTACAAAACATAAATGATACCTGAAGAAGTGATCCTTTTTTTTGGACTATGGAAAAGAACCCAAATTATCAGAAATTCTGGATCCTGTAAAATAAAAATATTGAAATGTATACTGGCATTAAAATTAAAATCTTAATGAAAGAAAGGTAGTTTGGAAGCTTTCTCTTTAATTCTACATCTGTTCTTCCATCCTCCCAGCATACCTGTCCATCATAACTGGCAGGCATCATCTGGTTGATCACAGAAGGAGCTGCCAGCTGAGCAATCACATCGGCATAAGCAGCAGCTTTCATGGAAGCAAGGACTGGTTCCTTGGAAAATGTGAAACAGCGCCAGGCTATGGCATTCTATTCAGAAACAGAAGAATCAATTTCAGAAAAGCTAATAGTATGATGCTGTGTAATGTTAAATTTGTTGACAAAATCTCACTCATAGCAGGAATTTAGAAAACCTAAATAAGGGGCCAGGAAAAAGACTAATTATAATAAAGAAAAAATCAAAATCAACAAGTAACTATAAATCAGAGACACGGGGGGGCAGGGGGGAAGAGGTAGGAGGGATTAGGGCCAAAATAAGGGGGTTGGGGATTGTACGGGGAATATAACCAAAATGAAAATGCATACATTGTGCAAAAATGAACAATGATGTAAGAATTACATAAACTAAAATATTAAAAAAGATATTCCTAAAAAAAAAATTAACCAAGAATGATATTAGTAGAGTCTACAGTTTCAGATTAATGTGTCTTATAATTGAGTTCTTACTGTACCTTAGTACTTACAGCATTAATAATAAGTCTGATTGGCACTGTGGCATGCGTCTTGTTTATCAATTTTAATGGGAGAGCTTTCCAGCCTCCATAAATCAAGTCACCAAAATCAAGAACATCTTTTGTTTCTGTTTCTACCTAATTATGAAAAACAAACAAACAAACATGGTTTATAAAAAGCAGTATGTTAAATAAAATTTAAAACTGTTCAGTTTCAAAGAGTATCATAACTTATGTGCCCTTTCCAGCCACAAATAGAGTCAATATTAGGGCAAACTTACCTAAGTTTTCCCGGGCTATTTAACAATTAGTATTGTCTATAAAATAAATGTTAAATTCTTTTTTTGAGGTAGTTTATATACCCAAATATACTACAAAACAAAGCAGTATCCAAGCGGTTGTACTCTGAAAAGACTATTAGATCTTAAGACTACTTGAAAAGACTATTAGATCTTAAGACTACTGACAGTTTCACGAAAGATAAAGCCAATGAGCTCTAATATTAATATATTGACTTCTCAATTCCCTTCAAAACATGTATTAGCATTTTCAGATTTAGTCCTGATTTGACAATACTCATGTTTTTTAAATAACATCAAAATAGACAAATCAAAAGTTTAAAATGAGTGTTGATCATCATAACAGATTAACTTCCTTAAACATGGAGACCAACATAGCACAGACCCACCTCCTCCCACACACACACACATGCAGAAATGCTGAATAATATTTAACATGCATATAAATGGCTTTGGCCTAGATACACATCAAATAAAAAAGAATTCAAAGCAGATTAGCAACTGAGAGGTGACTTCCAGGTGGCCGATGGAAAGTGTGGGGTCCAGGTTCACAAAGGTGGCTGAACTTCAATACCCTCTCAAGTTGAGAATGGAAAGGAACTGGAGCTTCCTGCATAAAGTTTAGAAATTGAAAGAAGTGCTCTTTTTATGAAATGGAAACTGGAAAAACCACTTGCACATCTGAGGGACACCAGGGAATGAGTAGGCAGAGGAAGAACATTCGGGCGGAAGTGAGAAACTGTGTGCCTATGCCACCCCAAGTATGGGAACTTCAAGTCAGACTCACAGAAATCTTTGGGGTTCCTGGCATTAATGTGAAATACTCTCTAGGGACAATGGAAAATCAGAACACATGGGATTTCCATAGCAAAAAGCAACTACCATGAATGTGAGCTCATGTTAAAAAAATTTAAATATTAATTAAAAACTTGAAATCACATGAAGAAAATAATCAAGGAAATGTAAGAAAACAACCTAGTAGAAGAATACCCCAAGAACTAGAAAAGCCCTAAAATATATTATGAAATAGGTACATTTTAAATCTAAATAGAATAGAGTTCATAAAGGAAGGAAAACAGATGACTGAAAAAGCAACAGTGAGCAAAAACTCAAAGTTGAAAAACTTTGCTCAATCTGTTAAAAAGTTTAACTATATGGTTTTAAAATCATTTGGATCCAAAACATTAGTCAAAGATAATGTGAAAGGAAAGGTATTAAAATGATTCCAGCTTTCTGTGTTGTTAGGGAATAGAGTTCATGATTAATTTTAGAAGCAAAGGGAGTAGAAATGTATCACTTCCAAACTAAAGCAGATGCAAAAGAAGAGTAAGAGGAAACTATAACCTACCCAAGAGTCAGGAAAGAAAAGAAAAAAAATCAGAAACCTTTAAGAGACATTCTAACAAAGCAAAGGTTGAAGGATGAAAAGTAAAGAGATTAAAATAGATATACCAGGAAATTACTTAAATAAAAGATGACGTACAATATGGGTGTGTGTGTATATATGTATATATGTGTGTATATATGCCATACATCTATGTATGTATGGCAAAATAGACTGATACAATAGGGTTAAAACCATTACTTTTCCTTTTTTTCAAGATTTACTTTTATTTATTTATGCATATAAGAACTGGGGTGTTGGCCAGTGGTGCAGGGGGTGAGAGGATTCATAAGAGACAGAGTGGGGAGCAGAACAGTCAGATCTACTGAAATACACTGCTGTGGGAAGTAGTGCACAAGACAGGAGGGGTCTGCTGCATAATACGTGGGTGAGCTCCTTGGCCGGGCATTGAATTCAGGCCACAGTGTATCGATAGCGCTGAGACTTAACCCATAAGCCACCAAGGATGCCTCAGAAAATCATTACTTAAGGAATCATTTCATTCAGAAGATAAAATGATCCCAAGCCTAAAGATATGTCAATAACACAGTTGTACAATATCCAAGACAAAAATCAAGAGAATTAAAAGAAACTGACAAATCTAAAAACTTGTCTCCCAGAAGTCCCAAAACTAAGCAAAGAGAAATATTTAGTAATGACACAAAAGATAGGACCTACACACTAGCAGAAGTTTGCATAAAAAAATATGGCCCTTAGGAGAAAGAAGAGGCAATTCTAATTCAGTTGGTCTGGGTAGGACTCAGGCATTGGGTGTATTTAAAACCCCTAGTGTTATCTCAAAGTGTGGCAGCGGTTGAATGCCACTGTTCTAAAGATGTATATAATCCAACATTACCCCAACTAGAATAGACCTAATTTTTTCATTCCATAAAATGGGAGATGGTAGGAGAAACTTTCCTGTTAGCAATCATATCTGGGTATAGAAAAGGATAATACGCGGGCCTCCCTGGTGGCGCAAGGGGTTAAAACGCAACCTATGAAGTTATCCGCAGCCACTGCAGCACGAGTTCAATCCCAGGGAGCTACGCACATGGCACAGCAGACCTCTTCTGTCTTGCCCACTGCTCCCCTCAGCAGTGTATTTCAGTCTGCCTAGCCGTTCTGTTCCCCACTCTGTCTCTGGTGGTCCTCTCACCCCCCCACCCCACCCATGCCTCTGGCCCGTACCACAGTTCTTGTATGCATAAATAAATAAATAAACCTTTAAAAAAGGGGGGGGGCCTCCCCTGGTGGCACAGCAGTTAAGCACTGGGCTGCGAAGCTGCCCACAGCCTCTACAGAGCCGGTTTGATCCCCAGCCACCGGTGAGGGCCCCACATGGTGCGACAGACCTCTCCTGTCTCACTCGCTGCTCCCCTCAGCAGTGTATTTCGTCGGTCTGCCTGTTCTGGTCCCCGCTCTGTCTCTGGTGAGTTCTTTCACCCTCCCACGCTTCTGACTGTACCCAGTGCTTGTATAAATAAATAAATCTTTAAAAATAAATAAATAGATAAAAGGATAATATGCTCCAAAATGCAAATTATATCAAGGGAACCAGTAGGAAAACAGGTTTTAATGTTATACTTTGCTTTATAAACATCTTAACAAGTAAATCTGTGTTTTTAGAAAACAATTTTAAATTTGGGATAATAATAATTTTGGAATATGAATACATTGAGAAGCAATGGTTTGCTTGATAGTAATTTTGTGACACATACATCCACAAATTCTTTTTTCCCCCAAATATTACTTCTAAAGTAAAGAGCTTTCATCAAAATGAGCCTCAGGCCTCCCTGGTGCTATCATTGCCATGGCCTGAATTTGATCCCCACCAGGGAGCTAACCCACATGACGCAGCAGACCTCTCCTGTCTCGCCCAATGCTCCCTTTAGCAGTGTATTTCAGTAAATCTGCTTGTTCTACTCTCCACTCTGTCTCTGGTGAATTCTCTCACACCCGGTACCTCCTGCCTACACCCCAGTTCTTCTATACAAAAATAAATTAAAAAAACAAAACAAAACAGTTACCTCAATCATAGGGGTCTCAGCAATAGCAGTGAGAATGACTGTGCTTGCCAAGGCCTCTGCTTGTAATATTGTGTCAGTATCTGCTGAAAATGGCCAAGAAGCAACACTGAATGTACATCTGAAAATTCCAGGATCAGATGGAATGAAAAGTACTTTTATCTCTTCTGTAGCATGAGGTCTTATGATGATTTTGTTCTTGAAAACTAAACAAGGATATGCTGAAAGATCCACCTTTAAAAAGAAGTCACATGGTTCATTAAATGACTTAACATTGAAAACCAAGAAACAGAATCAACTAGTTTAAGAGCTCTTTTAAAGCCTCTTGAACTACCAAATGCAGACATTTATGACCTCTTAAAATATATCCAAGTCTTACAACTCATTTTAATAAGTACAATTAGTCAAAATTATGAACTTACGAAGGCAAGTCGAATCTGTGTATCCTAATCTATTTTAATGCAAAGTTATCTAGATCTTTTCTTGAAAAGGGCACTGATGATGGCAATACTTCTCAGCCCTGTGTTTGGCCCTAGGACCCACTTTTGTAGCTGTACAAAGCAAGAGGATTAGACCCAGGTTCTTGAGATGCTTCCTATCTATGATTCTGACTCACTCTAATCCCTTCCACCCCGGTCAATGAGAATCTTTTCTATTCCCCTTCATTAAACAACAGTACTTCCTAGATACCCCGAGGAAGGCTCAAATTTCATTTCCTTCCACCCTCAATTCTTTCTTCCAATCACCTCTTCATCTAACCTCAGGATCCGAGGGGAATTGTTGGGAAAAGAGGAGGGGAGAATAGACACAGTATCACTTTACCAGATAAATAAGGTTACTACTAAGAGGTAAGAGGGACAGTAAACCCATCCACCAATGTTGGTCTGCAAGTCCCCAAATCAGGACATTCTAAATCAGGAGGTGCTGACTAGATTCCCACTCTCTACTATGTGATGTTTAAATAGTTGTAATTATGAAAGGAGATCTGGAATCTAGAATCTTAGCCACTATAACTGATCATATAAAAGACAAGAAGTTATAGTATCAAAATTCTATTTCGGGTATCTCAAGAGATCGTGCAAGAACATGATAAGTGAAACAGTCAAAAAGATTTCGCTTACTAAATAAAAGCATATATCCTAAGAGTAACTTGTTTCTTTTTCTATTTTATTGATAAATGGCAGTAACACATTCAATCACATTCAACAAAACTGGTAAGTAGAAACCAGAAACTCTGCTTTCAGAGGTTTAAAATAACATTAATAATAACAACAGGTTTAAACAGCACATTTACATGACTGTAAATAATGAAATATGATTAATAAATAATATTTGACCATAAAAAGAGAAACATACTTAGTTTTCACCTGTTATACTGGAAGTATTATAACAAAAAGGAGATGGAAAAAAAGAGCATTCCAAAGATTGTGGGCAAGATATAAAGAGGAAGGTATGGAGATAACTCCCCTATATAAAAGAAAGTACCACAGAGGAGAAATCTAGCATTATTACAATGCAATTGCTGAATCAAAGGAGAAGACATAGAAAGCTTACCTTTTCACCATTAATACTAACACTGAGAACCCCAAGGCTGACTTGAAGCCAGCGATCAGTTGGGTTAAGTACACTGAGATGGGTTTGTGAAGCAATGCCAACACAGCAAGCATGAGGAAACTTTAGTTCCTCAGGTACTCTTGCTTTCCCTGGGTAAAAATAAAAGAGAGAAAATGCAAGTTATAGCAACCCCTGATGAAAAGTACAACTAGTTAATGGAAATTTTTATGTAAGACTACTTGTTCAGGTGCACAAGGGGTTAAGTCTCAGTGCTATTAAGCTATCGCCAGCCACTGCAGCATGAGTTCGATTCCCGGCCAGGAAGCTAACCCACATAGCACAGTAGACCTCTCCCGTCTTGCCCACTGCTCCTCTCAGTAGTGTTTTTCAGTAGACCTGCCTGTTCTGCTCCCTACTCTGTCTCTGGTGAATCCTCTCACCTTCGCACCTCTGACCTATACCCCAGTCCTTGTATGCACTAAAAAAAAAAAAAAAAAAAAAAAAAATTACTTGTTCATACCCCAAAACTACAGTATGAAGTGCCCTAGATTTCAGGAGTCCTTTGAGACACTGTATAAGCCTCAGAGTAGGCTGGGCAACAATTATTCCTACTATCTGCAGGCAAGGAAGAACAAAAATTAAAATTGTTCAAACTCAAGTTTATATCTAACCAACTCTTAAATGTTAGTGACTATTAGTAATCTCTTCCTTTTTTTCTTTCACAAATTATAAACAACTTCCTAGTCTAACAAGAAATGACAGAGACTCCATTTGAACTGTTACATGATGACCAATCTTTCTGCCACCCTTATGCAGTTGTCCTGGAATTTCCTTAAGAAGAAAAAGGGCTGAGGAGGTGACAGCACTCAGTATACTGTGTCAGAAAAAGCAAAGCACCCAGCACTGTGCCTGTCAGCAAAAGAATCAGGGTGGCTCAGCCAGCAGAGAGGAGAGGAAGGGTGTTATTTATCATGACAACATTAGCTACCCCCTCTCCAAAACTTAAAAGTTGGAAGGAGACTTACTCTTCAGGGAGCTAACTCTAAATGGAAAGTTTCTTAGTTGAAAGAATAAGACAGTCAAGAGCAGAACACAAGAGAGAAACAGGAAGACTAAAATATCAGGAGTTCTCATCTGATTAAGTTTTTGTGTTTTTCTAAGGCTATTCGGGGCCTTGCACAGAAATATGTTATGGCCTGTAATATCAGCTCAAGTCAAAGAAAAAAAACAAGAGAAATACAGGACAACTAATTTCTCCTTGAAACAAACCTATTTTGTGATCCTTATTTGAGAAAATTATTAAATAACAGCAAACAATAAATAATAACAGAGAAAAAACATCTCACCTAATCCTGACATCATTCCTGAATCCCATGGTTCAATTCCACAATTTGCACCAACAGACTGCATAGGAAAAGATTTTGCTGTGCTTAGTAGATTCTGATCTAGGGCATTAGAGTATGAGTTATAAAAGGAAGAGGTACCCATTAATCCAGAGTTAATATTTTGTCCTAGATAAGTTCCCATGGCCACAGATTTCTGAACATGCTCCCCTGCAATAGCAGAATAAGGACAACCTCCTGAGAATCCACAGACTGTGGTGCTACCAGCATGACACTGGGGCAAAGCACTCTTTCCAGCAGAAGGCAGTGTCCCCAAACACTGATGGGCATAAGGAGCCGTGGTGATAGAATGTTGAGTCAGGAATGTAGGCACTGCAATGGGTACGTTGTGTCTCTTGGGTGCACAACCATGGTCTGCAGTACTGGAAACAGGGGCGCACAGGCCTCCGGAGGCCATCGGATGAGGAAGTTGGCCACTTAATGCACTATCAGCAGTTGACGTATCTTCAGAAGTTATTCTTTGGCCTTTGTTCACAGACACCTCACATGATGTGGAGAGGTGTGCTGTCGCTGATACAGCTGGGTGGCTGAGGTCTGATTTGCATAGGAGAGCCAGACTGACCTGGTCCAGTTCACTGGGGTCTGATGTCAAACCTACTGTACTCGTCTTTGACGGATCTCCACTTTTGGAGGAAAGATCTTTACTCCAACTCAAGTTAGATTTTACATCTTTAGATTTGCTACTGAGAGAAGTAGTTTCAGTTACTTTTTCTATATCTGAGTTGTTCTGGATAATATATGATAATGCTCCTTTTCCTTTACTTTGAGAAGGAAGTTTTTCTTTCAACTTTTCCACAGTCCGTTCCCCTGATGGAATTGGGCTGGCTTGAATAATTGTGGTGCTCAACTCATTGGTGATATCCCCCTGGGTGTGACAAACAGTTTAAAGAAATAATCTACAGATATACTGAATATCACAAATTCAAACTCTGCTGACACAATCTCAAATAATAGAGATCTACATGACATTAACTCTGAAGAAAAGTTAGCTTCAAAAAAAAGCCATGAAATACACAATTAAAAGAAAACTTATATTAATGTTTTATAAAAATTATGAAGAAACTAAAGAGGAAGTAAATGCCAATTACAACTCTGAAAAAAATTGCCTAGTTTTACGTAGACCAGAGGTTAAGCAATTTTATGCAAATTTAAGGAATTCCTTTTTTTGCCATAAACTGTCTAACAAAAATGTAAGTAAATTAATAAGTAAGGAGTGGAGACAAGCAAACTTTCAAGTCATATGGAAATGAGGCTAGGAATTAGTGCAAAACTGTTCATGGACTCTCCCACCATGCTGTATATGTGTGTGAAGAGGCTAATTTTGATGAATACTGTCGTTCTAATGTCTGAAGTTACGTGGTTCTGTTCTCTTACAGCTCTGCAGAGCAGACCAGCTATAATTCAGTATACAAGTCAAAAAGTTCTTAACCATCACTGATTATTCTGGGTGGTTTGCAGAGTTCTTCCGGACCAAAGTTATAGAAGCAAAGACACTGATTACAAAAGGCCAGATTATTTGGCCAGATTATTTGCTAGTCATCACCATTAATGACAAATAGCAGCAACATTTTTAATAAACAACATAAGTTAATATGTACAGGGGTGATTTCTTGGGTTAAGCCCTGTCTTCATATCATTCTCCCTCCTAACAGATGAAGAAACGGGATTGGGAAATTGAAATCTGCTTCAGAAAGCAGTAGAGAAGAGGCGATCACAATGCAGTTCGTAGCTACTATGCTAAAATGTTTGTACCTCTGGTGCCCAGTAGTAGCTGTCTGATCAACACACACACACACACACTCTTTTATACACTTTAACGATAAAATATCAACAAAAATTATACAGGTCGTAACATTAGTCTGAATCCTACATTAGTAATACTGAGAGACAAAATCCTTGCTAAAGCAATAATGAACTGCTGCCCACCTTTCTGTCCTCAAGGTCATGGTCTGAGCCTGTGGTGGGACAGATGCTATCGTGTTCAGATACATAAGTCAGCCTGCTCATAGTATCCTGTGGACACGCTGACTGACACAGTGCACTCTCACAGGGGGGCTTCTGATGATGAAACGCTGAATCAAAAGACTCTAAAGCACACCTGAAAGAAATATATACCTTATAAGTGGAACTGTCCATTCCTTAACATCACCTACACTAGTAAAATATCATTCATGTTTGCCAACAATCTTGCTAAATCTACAATCTCTGTTCTAGCTGCTATATTTAATAATTCAAACATGGATTAGTTTTTTACCCTTATCTAAAATTATAAATTATATTCCTATAGAGAGCATCTGATAAGCTACTATGAAAAAAAGTGACATTTTAATTAATACATACTCTATAATGTCATATAATGTTAGCAATGCATTCAATGAAAATTAACCAGATACCTGACATAGAGCAAAGAAAGAAGAGACCATTCAAATATTCTTGCCCTCAAAGAGCAAAGATGGAAAAAGAAAAAAGAATCATGTGGATAGTGCAAAAAAGGGGAACAGTCACATACTGTTGGTAAGAATACAGAATAATACAACTTTTGGCTGAGCAGTTTAGCAGTTAAACAATATACAGCAAAGCCCTTTAACTCATATTCTAAATCTAGGAATTTGTCCTAAGAAAATTAGTAATTAAAAAGATTTCACCAAAGGGACATATCTTCTAACATTATCACTGACAGTAAAATAGGGAATAGGCTATGGAAATAATGACACACACAATAAAACCCTAGGCAGCTATTTTAAATCACACTGTTGAATACTACTCTGTCTCAGAAAGATGTTCATAACATATTAAGTAAAAAAAAACTTAGCAATAAAATACTACCATTAATTATTATGCACATCATAGTCTTTTAGTCAATATCCATCACAGTACTGATCAGACAAATTCAAAAAGAAGAAACAGGCTGTACCTCTTGAGAAAAAGTGGCAAAGTCACATTGGATAGAAGATATTTTTGCAGCTATCTCTGGAAATAGTGTGTTACACCTATTGAACACTCTGCCAGTTCCAATTGAGCCCTGAATTTCACCCCATTGGTTTTTGTTTTGCACAAAGTTTAAAATAGGAAGCTGGGCAATGGACAAAGAAAGAAAATTCTATTTTCAAATTTTAAGAATTGTCTCAAATCAACTATAATCAAGACAGTTTTGACAAAATACAGGTTAGTGCATTTCTAACCAATGGAGACAATATGTAACCAAATTGTTTCAAGTCTGTAGCAGTCACTACATGTCATACATCTACATAAGTTCTTGTATGCATTTGCATATGCAGGCACACAAATACACACCCTGCATACACATAAAAGTGATGTACTGTATTACTCTGATCCCTCTGGTTGAAAGGAACAAATGCATTTAGGTTTTATCTTCCTTCAAGAAATGAGAAGTAAACTGTCTGAAATGCACAAAAATGAAGTTTCAGTCAAGATGTCAAACTTCAAAGGAATCCAAAAACTGCCAAGTTGCTGCCCAGACAGAGACTCAAAAAGAGTTTAGAATTATAAACTCTAAATCAACCCTATGGAACTACTGGAAATACTAGAAGGCAGATAGTCAGCTAAAAAGAAATGCCTGCAAGTAGCAAAATGTTAACAAAAGTAAACTCAACAAAACAATGTCACTATTGAACTAATGAATATTCTGACCAACATCTCAATATGAATACAGCTATGTGTCCCTTAAATACATTCTGTTAAGTGACTGTGTTGCTTTGTGTATAACAGAGTGTATGTACACAAGCCCAGATGGTGTTGCACACTGCGCATCTAGGCTATAGATAGTGACCACTATGGTATATTTGTTCTGTAACTGACCAAAACAGTTACATAGTATAAGACTCTACCCCTCCCCAAAAAAAAGAAAAAAGAAAGGAACATCAAGCCCATTTTACCACAATAAAAAGTACCAAGAGGAATTAAAAAAATAAAAGATTATAAACAAGTCCACAAAGGCAGGAAGAAAATGCATAGCTGATACTACAGAAAATCATTGATCCTGAGGATAAACACTTAAACAGCTATCCTGCAATAGTGAATATAAAAAAAATTAGGAGAAAGAAAATATTCATACATGATCAAAGAAGGGAGTATCAGCTGTGGGAAAATGATATACTCAAACATAGGAGGTAATAAGAGAGGTAATAATCAAAGGGGAAATGTGAGTAATAATCCGAAGAAAATATAACCTTCCTCAGCTGAAGAAAGAATTGTATATGCAGAGGTTATCATAACCTAAGAAAACCAACGGATAGATGCTGACACATTCACTGGAATCTGATAATGGAAAACTGGAAGAAAGCAGTAATAGAAACATAAAATGGAGCCAGCAGTTCTTTCTGCCCACTTGTGTCTGTGCATCGTCTTCTTTCTTTTTCCTAATAAACCTGTCCTTTTCAAATGTAAATAATAAATAAACTGGATCCATAAACTAGGCTTAAACGAAAGTGCATACTGAGCAACAGGAGGATGGATACACAGAATGTGTCATATTAGTGCAACGGAGTACTAGGCAGTAACCACCAGAATGAGCTACTGATACATGCAACAACAGGAATGACTCTCAAAAACTTGTTAAAGGGAAGAAGCTAGACACACAAAAAATGTAATGTGTAATTTCATTCACATGAAATGGAAAAGACAAATCTGAATTATAATGAAACCTATCAGAGAGTAGGTATCAGGGTGGGGATGGGGTAAGAGAAGAATTGATTGGAAAGAGACAAGGAATTTTCAATGGTGTGATGAAAATATTCTATATATTTCAGGAGGTGGTATTTATATAGGTGTATGATTAAAACTCACTGCATGAAAACCCAAAGATCTGTGTATTTTATTATATACATTGATTATGCTTACACTACAATGAAATCCTAACACTGGGATTGGCCAAACCGGACAGTAAACTAGCATGCTAAACTGTGCCCCTAAAGGATTCACAAATTACTTTATACACCAGATACAGACACCAGATACAGATCAAGAGAACTCAAAAGCTATTTGCTGTTGTGACTATGGCAGCAAAACACACAGGCTAAGCAACATCACTCTCTTTTCATCTTCCCCAGCAAATTTTAGTTTTGAGTACACTTAACCACTAATAAATTGGCCTTTACTCAGTAAATCCTGTTGTTTGTTCCAGGCTGAAAGGAGAAAAGTAAGGTGTTTGGTTAGTTTATGCATGTAGATAAAGCTTACCAATTTCATGGTCCCCTAATAAAAGTAAACACCTGCCAAGTTCATGAGAAAAGGTATATTTTCTTAGAAGCACAAGAAAAAACAGGCGTGGTCAACAGTGAAGCTATCTAGTCAAGCACTGTGTCTGCAGTCAAGGGCAGTGTGAAGGAGAAAATCATAATGATGTGTTCTTTATAAAGTACTTAAGAGTTTTTATTAAATGTCACATACAATTTAAAAAACCACAACCAAATAAAACAAGATGAAATTTGAGAGTATATAGAAGGAAAAAGATAATAACAGAAAACACTAAGGAATCTAGAGGTCAGAGGTGTAAAATATAAACAAGATGAAACAGAAATTAACAAAGGTAGATCACTGGAGTGATGGGAAAGTTCCATCCATATCTTTGGCGAAGGTGGTTACACAAATTCACACACATCTGTGATAAAATGACACTAATTTCTACTTATATTGTGCCCATGACAAGTTCCTCGTCATTACATTGTGCTATAAGGAGGTAATCACTAGGGGAAACTAGATGATGGGAGCATGGGATTGTCTGAAACTATCTCAAAGTAAAAGGTACTTAAAGAATGGTTTAGAGGAAATAAACATAAAAGTCAAGGAAAATAGATTCCACGTATACACCTGCAGAGCTCCTGAAAACAGTATAGGGATGGAACAGTACAAACATTTTAACAAGTAATCCCGAAAAAATGTTGGTTAAATAACAAAATCTTGTATCACATATCGAAAGGGAATACCTTTGTGACAGGGTTAAGGAACCGTGAAGAGACATCATAGACAAATAAATTTACTAGATATGAAGATAAAGCATCTTTGGCATAAGCTTATAAAAAGATCAAGTCAATTCTGAAGCAAAGAGATTTAGGGAACCCTGCAGTTGCCATTCTGTATTCTATAGACAATAAAACAATCCTACCAGAAAGTGTGAAGCAAAGAATTAAATACAGTCACATCATTCTTTAATTACAAAACTTACAGATTAACTTCTAAACATAAAAGAACCCAGGGCCCTTAGTCCTTTAGTAATTTCTCTACACAAATTACTTCAGTCAACCTTGAGAGGAAATACCTGATGCCAAGAACTGGATATATTGAGCTGTAGAATAAAAAACTAAAAAATTGCAAGTAAAAAAGTATAGATGTGTCGATGAAATAACAACTAAAAAAAAAAGCAGGATGGGGAAAAAAGTAACATGGAGAATATGCTCAATAAATTTTCTCACTGGTAACAGATGATGTTATGGGTAGAGTTGTAATCCTCAAAAGGTTCATTGAATTCCTAACTTCCAGTGCCTCAGAATATAATCTTATTTGAAATGGAGACACTGTAGATGTGATTTAGATGAGGTCACTGTGGTAAACTGGCCCCTTAATCCAATGTGAATGGATTAATAATGAAATTACTATTATAAGAGAAGGGATATTTGAACGCAGACATAGATGGAAGTGAGTCATGTTAATACAGAGGCAGAGATCAGAATGATGCCTCTACAAGCCAATGAATGCTTGGAATACCAGAGGCTGGAAGAGATAACAAAGGACCCTCCCCTAATGCTTCAGAGAGAACATGGCCCTGGATCTATAACCGACAGAATTATGAGACAATAAATTTCTGTTGTTTTAAGCCATCAAGATTATGGTACTTTGTTATGGCAGTCACAGGAAATTACTACAATTGAGAATCAAAACACATCATTTAAAAGCTGGCATAACAAGTATCAGAAGTACAAATACATTTTTAACAATATTTGATAATTTTAGAGAACTAGCTTTTGTCATAAGTATATAATATCATCCTTTTTATACTTGACATAGGATCCTTTGTGTATTCATTTAGATAAAAACACTTAGATAAGTTTTAAACAAATACCAATGGGAAGAGGAAGGAGAAAAAAATCACTGGATACAATCAATGATGAGAAATCACTACCAAGTGACATTCAAACTTGGTTGGGCTGGATGATTTCTAGGGTCCCTTACAATACAAAATTAACTGTTAAATAAGAAGTGAATGTTTATATGAAAAAGCATTTCAGGATGAGGTATCAATGAGGAGTCACTGAAATATGAAAGAACTAAGTTCTTCACTGATATTTAGCTATATATATAGCTTACACATACCATTTTAGATGACTATGCAAGACTACGATGGCAGCTTGGGAAACAGCAAATAACTTTGAAATCAAATATAATTTCAATTTATTTCAGAATGTTGAATTTTTTTATTAATTTCATTTTTCAGTAAATATTCTCTTTGTTAAAATCTTTCAATAGACAAACAAGATTTTTCTTAAAGTCATAAAGAAAAATACTCATATATTATAGCAAAAAAATACAAGTTAAAAAAACTTCTAAAACTAAGAACTAAGAACTTTAACTCCTATCACAAATAAAGGTTGTTTGTTTGCTCTTAATTCTCCCTAATACGTCAAGTACTCTTAGAGATTAAGACCAAAAAAAAAAGACTAAAAATCCTTGAGAAAAATAGGAAACAAGCTAGTATTTTAGAAAAGTAAAAACAAATATAAAGGAAAAGAGGTTCATCAATACTGAAAAAATAGGAACTAGAGCTATACTGAAACAGTTCTTTCACCTCTATGATTGCTGACAATCAAAAAGTTTGATAAATATTACATTGGTAAGACTAAGAAAAGAGGCCCTCTCCTAAGGTACTGATGGAAAATTAAATTAGTACAACCTCTAAGAAAGGGTCATACTAATTTAAATGTGAACATGAATGACACACTCTTTGACAATTTCTTTTTCAGGAATTTATCATATATATATTATATTTGCATGGATCCCAAATGATAAGAAAACAGATGCAGCTCTCACAGCTAACTCTTCAGAGCAAACATAAACACATAAAGGAGTCTATATTGAGCATAAAAAGGGGTGACAAAAGAATATATATTCATATTGGCTTATACATGCATAAAGAAACTCTAGAAGAAAATCTAAGAAACCAGTAATAGTAGCTCCCTGGTGAGGGAATTAGAGAACTAGGTGGACAAAGAATAGCAAAGGAGATATAGACACAGACACACACAACTATACTTAAAAATACACATGTGTACATATGACAAAGCAATAAATTTATATTGCTCAAAAATTACACATACACACATAATCTCTATACATGCATATAATTTTTGAACAATGTTAACTATGGCCACTTAAAAAATTCAACTTTAAAACATTCTAATAACTTAAAAGTTAATTTAGTATTAAATTCTAGTATTAAAAATGCAAACTAAGGCCTCCCTGGTGGCACAAGGGATTATGCACAGCACCATGAGGCTATCCACCGCCACCGCAGCACAAGTTCAATCCCCGGCCAGGGAGATACCCACATGGCACAGCAGACCTCTCCTGTCTCACCCGCTGCTCCCCTCAGCAGTGTAAAGTAGATCTGCCTGTTCTGTTGCCCACTCTGTCTCTGGTGAATCATCTCACCACCCCCCCAACACACACCTCTAGTCTACACCCCAGTTCTTAAATGCATAAATAAATTAAAATAAATCTTTAAAAAGATGCAAACTAATACTGTAAGGTAGAAAAAATATCCAAAATTCTAAGTTATTTAAAATGCTGGTAAGAAAACAGGCAGACAGACACATTCATCATACATTTATGGTAGCAGTGCAAGTCTTCTAGAAAATAACTTGCAAATAGAGAGCCTTAAAATTTTATTCCTGGGCCTCCCCTGGTGGCGCAGCGGTTGAGGGCTGGGCTGCAAAGCTGCCCGCAGCCTCTGCAGCGCCGGTTCGATACCCGGCCGCTGGTGAGGATCCCACATGGCGCGCAGACCTCTCCTGCTGCACCCGCTACTCCCCTCAGCAGTGTATTTCGTCGGTCTGCCTCTTCTGTTCCCCGCTCTGGCTCTGTTGAATTCAGTCACCCTCCCGCGCTTCTGACTGTACCCAGTGCTTGTATAAATAAATAAAATAAATAAATCTTTAAAAAAAAATTGTATTTCTGACTTTGTGATTTCACTTCTAGATATCCATCCTAGGAAATTAGCCAAAGCACAGAAAAAAAATTTGTGAGCAAAGCTATTCAGTTCAATACACTAAAATGAAAAGATTAAGCATTCAGCAGCAGTATCACATTTATTAAGTAACATTACTAATTTTCCTTTAAATAGAGTATTATGCTCTGTAGAAAAAAGCAAAATGTAAAAATTTGCACAGAAAAAGAGCTTGAAAAAAATTTGTAAAATATTTGCAATGATTAACTTTGAGAGATGAACCGGTAGATAATTTTCTTCTTTATAATTTTTTCAATTTTCCTATACTGAACTAAGTAATTTCACTGTTAAAGAAAAAATGAAATAGGTAAGCACTTACCCTGACAAACCTGTTCCAGAAATTTCACTCGGGGAAGAATGACTGAGTGGTGAAGTGGAGGGTCTGAAGCTATCCTGGTCATCCTCTGAGCCATGTCCAGCATTTTCAGGAGAGGGATTTTTCAAATCTATCAGAAAGGTGTATTTCCCAATGAGAACAGAAAAAAAAAACTGCATAATTTTATAAATATGCTCAATTCCTTTGATACTTACCAACAATTTTAGGTGAGATTATGGAATGTTTTTCAAAAGTCACATGTTTTTCACTGTTGCTTGTTTTACAAACAGACTCATTTTCCCTCTGAATTTCTCTATTATTTTGTATTTCTTCACATTCTTCTAACAGCCAAAGGGATGCTATTCTGGGGTTTCTTACTAACGGATAACTATTAGATGTTGGAGTAGATACTGAAGTATCTTTTTCACTGTCACCAATATCTGGTAATTTGTTGTCAACAGAGTATGTCTTTACATCAACTACTGTACTCTCACTCTCTCTCATATTTGCCAGAATTGAATTTGAAAAGTTCACTGTTCTAAGTGATTTGTGGTTTGCTCTCTCTCCACTTCCACCATAAAAAACAGCTGCTAGGTTTTCTTGTGGTTGCCTTCCAGTTATATTAGTAGCACCTAAGTCCACTGTATGGATGTATTGTGTAGTATGTTCATTTGGCAAAGATAAATCCCAAAGATCAGATGTACCAGCTCTTGAAAAATTTTCCACTCCACCTTCATATCTACTAACTTCTGTTTTTTTAAGGTATTTCTCCACATCAAATACATTGGATCCATTATTTTTTTCTAAATCATTAGGTGATACATGAGATATACTGGAACAATCTTTTTGCTTATCAGGTTCCTGAAAAGTCTTCTCTCTGGTTTTATTTGAAAGTGTCTTGATCATGGCAGCAAGTTGTAAAGGATCAGTACTCACTGATGCATTTGCAATGGCTGAAGCAATGGTGCTTATCCTAAGTACAGAATCACTATCGTTAGCTAGCTTCCCTTTGCTGTTCACAAAGAAAATGTCCTAGAAAGGAAAAAATTTACATCAGCTAAGTTTATGTCAGTCTCATGGATATGTACATATCTTTACAAGTACTATACAAGATTTAATAGGAGCAAGAATTTATGGTTTATCAGTTAAATATCCTATTGAAAAAAAAGACTGCTTTCATCAATTTTAATTCTGGTGTACTGGATATTTACAAGATCTGATTAACAACTGTTAAAAAAAAATCTTCGTTATTAAAGAGACAAAAAGTCCAAAATACTGAGATTAAGAAGCTATTGAGCCACTGTAACTCCACATTTAATTCTTGATGTCATTCAATTTCTAGGATTTTTCATAACAAGACAAAAACAGAATCCATGCATAAAAAACTGAAATGAAACTGACAGTAAAGAAGCATAAAACTAAAGTTAAAAATGCAAATTATGTCTTCTGCCTCCAGTTAATAACAAGGTAATGCAAATCAACCTTTTACAAAGACAAATTAGAACTGGACAGCATATCCAAAAATATCTCAAGGAAGGCACTAGAGAGCTAAAAAAAAGCAGTGAAAATCGATGGGATCAAAACCCAAGAGAAGAAAAAATCATAGAGAGGTGAGCCATTATTGGATATGCTTTTCCTAGAGGGTTCTGCTCCTTTGAGAAGAGCAGATAAGGACTTCAAGATGAACCTGATCAAAGCTGTTCTAGTGGGATTGTAAGGACATAAAAACCAAGTTCAGAGTGCACCAATGATGACAGAAAGGAGGTGGCCATGCAAACATCCATGCTTTAGGATGAGATCACAAAGGGATATACTTTAGGAGTAAAGGTAAATCATAATTATTATGGTGCTCAAAAGGACTACAGCTCAATCATCTCAATTCCAGTAACTGGAGTAAAGTGATCTAAAGTTGCTAGTGTTCCTCATTCCTGGTCAGAAGCAAATATAAATCCTGTCTGGAAGATATCATCTCCTATGGTTGCAAATAGTATCAATAACCGTTCCCTGTAAAAATACACGCCTCAATCAATAACTGACATGTTTCACATGTCAAAATCACAATAAAACAGACCAAAAGGGGACAATGGAGTTACCAGAATAAGTATATTAAAAATCACATTTTTCTGTTTAGTCACAACACAGAGATAATGAAAGTAAGAAACACAACAGTAAAGTAGCATTTTAGCAAATTAGGAAGAAATCTAATAAAATCTAATAAAAAATTGTTTTTCTCTTTTGTCTTAATTTTCATGGATTAGAAGATTCATGTTCTGTAGATTAAGTTCAATTAAAAGCCATCCAACAGGGTTGTTGAAAGAATAGTCAACAAACTATTAATGAGAAATAAGAGGGGAGGGCTTACTATACGAGACATCAAGACTTGCTATAAATTACAATCTTTAGCAGTGCTGTATAGACAGAAGACAGACATGATTCCAAAACAGTAGAAAGAATATATCAACTGCAGAATAATCATAACAGAATACTACATGATCATCAAAATAAGCTTCTAGTATACTTAACATAGCTGCATCTAGCAAACATAAGTGAAAAAAATCAAAGAAAAAATATGCTGCGTGATTTCTTTCATATAGAAATGAAAAGACAGTGGAATCAATACATATTCAGGTTAGAAAGGAGGTAATAGCATTTTGGATGGACCAGAAAAATGGTTGCTGGGCTATTAGTAACACTTTCTCTTTTGACGTGGGGTGTACACTGGTCCATAAATTGTGACATGTCTACTGACTATTTTACAAACTCTTGTGAATGTTTATTACACATGTTGGTAAAAGTTTCCAAAAAGTTAACTGACCCTTAAAACTGAAGCCCGGTTGGGCCGGGGGGAAGGAGGCAGAGGATAACATATTATACAGTATATATTGTTTACACATAACCTTATCTTAATCACATACAAGAACCATGGTTTCGGCTTTATTTCATGATAGGCTTAAAATACCTCTGTTGTGCCTTTATCATTGGTTAATGTCACATCATTTTCATTCATTTGGGAAATACTCTCCAGTTCTTCAGCCTGAAGTGTAACTGAGATTTCACTTAGCTGTGCCTCAGATTGTTCATTTACATTCCCTGTAGAAAATATACAATACTCAACTTACATCTATATGATATCTCACAGAAATAATCTGTGGGACCCGAACCATTCAACCTGCTTATTTGCCAAGGAAAAGTCTTTGTATCCCCAGTATCAATCAGTCTCACAAAAATTGTTTAAATGTATAGTCACTAAGACAAAAGACCACACCATTGTTAATTTGACTCAACTCTGTAAAATCTAAATTTTGAAGATTGTACATTTTAATCTCTACTCTGAAAATATTGGCATTTAGTACTTTTTAGCTTTAAGCATTTCACACATACAGAAAAAAAAAAAACACTTGAATTTAAAAACATGAACTTCTTTACTAGAAGTAAACTAGAACTTCTCTAATAGAAAATCAACTAACAATACAATACAATCTTTTTATCCTAACTCCCCTATTGGAAAACAGACCCTTAAATGAATGGAGCCTATCTTGTCCAGCTTTATATGATATATGGCACCAGGTACTGCGCTAGCAAAAATCAGTTGTTAGATAATTATGTGTTGACTAAGAAAGTTTGATTGTAAGTATTTACCATGGATGTTTATCATATTTAGTATATCATAGTCCAAATCTCAATACAGCTCTAAGTAAAACATGTCTACACTCATGAACCTCATAATGTACAATGTAGTAGGCCAAAGGTAATTCACCCATTTAAACAAATAATTTCATTTATTTTGTCTTTTGAAACAAAAGTATTTAGGTGATTTTTGGCTGATTTATTTTCACATTCAACGGAAAAGGCAATGTGAGTTACAAAAAAAATCAATCTATAACTGATATTGAAAAAATTCAAGTGAACATATTTTTACCCATAAAGAACAATCACAATCACTAATTTACAGGTTAAAAAAAAAAGGTAACTGAAAACTCCTCCATTCATCCATTACCTGAAAACTGATCATGGTTAAGATGAGCCATTTCCTTGTCCAAATTACTTTTGGATAAATCAGATTTTCTTATTAAAGCAATAGGTTCTCTCTTCTCTGGCGATTTAATAGAATAACCAAATGATGGCTACAAAACAAACATGGATTATTTAATTTTCAACTGCTATGAGCAATTTTAGACTGCTTTATCTAAATAATGGTAACTGGGCCTCCCTGGTGGTACAGCGGTTGAGCGCTGGGTTGCAAAGCTGCCCGCAGCCTCTGCAGCGCCAGTTCAATCCCCAGCTGCCAGCGAGGGTCCCACATGGCGCGCAGACCTCTCCTGCCGCCCGCTGCTCCCCTCAGAAGTATACTTCGTCAGTCTGCCTGCTCTGCTCTCCTTTCTGACTCTGGTGAATTCTCTCACCCTCCTGCACTTCTGACTGTACCCAGTGCTTGTATAAATAAATAAATCTTTTAAAAAAAAAGTTACTCTAAAAATAAATAAATAAAGGTAACAGAGCTAAATGACTGCAATAAAGTAATTCAGTTCTTTTCCTTTAAATTATAAGAGGGGCCTCCCCTGGTGGCGCAGGCAGTTGAGCTCAGTGCTGTGCTGTCCACAGCCTCTGCAGCACTGGTTCGATCCGGGCCAGCCCAGTTCAATCCTGGCAAGCTGGCCTCGAGGGTCCAATATGGCGCAACAGACCTCTCCTGTCTCGCCCGCTCATCCCCTCAGCAGTGTATTTTGTCAGTCTGCCTGTTTCTATTCCCTGCTCTGTCTCTGGTGAATCCTCTCACCCTCCAGTACATCTGGCCTGTACCCTGGTTCTTGTATAAATAAGTAAATAAATCTTAAAAAAAAAAAAATTATAAGAGATGAACATTAGAAGTCCAGATAGACTATTACATTTCCTTACTGCTAATTATCTTCAATCATCAGAATAGTCAAGTTAGTTATCCTCACTAAGAAATCCAAAGTAAAACAAACCATTAATGACACTTCGCTCCTTCAGTAACTATTATTGAGTATCTACCGGGTGTCAGATACTGTTAATTGTCAGTGACACATGAATGAGACAAAAGATAAAACTTTCTGCCATCCTGGAACTTATAGTATAAGGTATATAGTACAAGATCATTTCATTTTATAAAATAAATACACACTTGAAAATGTGTATTTTCTACAGTGTTACTACTGGCTTTCAAAGTTTTGGAAATGTTTATACGCAAGCTTGCTAAAGGCCAGGGAATTCCACTTGCTTGTCTTACAGAACTTTCACATGGTAGATCTAAAATATGAATACAATAAATACACTCAATTTTTCATTGAAATTCACCTGGGAATTTCTTCCCTTGACATATTAACTTGAATGCAATTAACAATTTATAGCTAATACTAAAACAGAAATTCTGAGTAACAGATCTAGTTTTCCTTGATCCAGGTCTTGTTCATCTGTCTAGTAAGGTATTCAGTAACTCTTTTGTCAGAATATTGAAAATTCAATTGGTCCAGAGAGAAAAATCTGCCTCTCTAAAGAATTTGTTTCATTGTTTAACTAGCTGCACAGACCAGAAACATAGTTCAGTTTTAAAATAAAGTTCTTCAAATCAATTGTGAATTCTAACGCTAGTTATTTTAAATTATACTTTGGTAAATGCAGTTTTAACAAATACTCCCTTTCACTAACTTTAACTTCCTATATAGAATTTATTAAGAAATCCTTTGACTCTACATCCAAAATAAATTTGAATCCTTAAATTTTTCTGTTTCTATACTATCATCCTAGTCCCTGACTTTCATCACATCTCCTCCTATTTATTATGTCTCTGCCTGCTTCTACTCCTCCTCTGCGCTTCACAGACCTCAACCCAGGCCCCTGACATAAGATGGCATGCTGTTACAGCGGAAGGTCGACCTGGCCACAAGTCACTTTACTGCCTGCCTCCAAGGGGGATCTGGCAAGGATGTCATGATCTGGTCCTTGTCTACTTCTGCTATTAACCCATCCTACCCTTTGCCCCCAACTCCAAGCACAATAGCTCTATCTGCCTGCTTTCTATTCCTCTAACGTCATTCTAGGTCCCTACTTCAGGCTTTTATATATATATATATATATATATATATATATATATATATATATATCACCTCACTCTGCTGGGTACACTCTTCTTCCAAATCTTTTGGTGGCTGCCCCCTTCTCATCATTTAAGGTCCCATTCAGTACACTCCCCCTTCAGATGTCACCCTGCCAAACAGTCGAAGCAGTTCCTTCTCACTTTTTCTTCATGTACTTATCACTATTATTTGCATTTTAAAAAATTATTTCATTTTATTAAACCAAAATACTCAAATTTCAAAACATGTTTTAGAAAACAGGTTAAAAAAAATCAATCTTCATATTCTTCCCATCAATCAATGATTTAACAATAGCAATTAACAGGTACTAAGTACTACATACAAGGTTTGATGCTAAAAGCATTTTCTATGCAGTATCATATATAATTATTGCAAAACCCTATAAAGCAGCATTCCATTTTAAAATTGGAAAATTAAGACATGGACAAATTTTATCAAATAAACTGTTCCATGTCACAGAACTAGTTAAAAGGCTTAGACTGGATTCAGTATCTGAAAGATAAAACCAAAGCTTTTTCTCACTATTTATTCTTCATGACTCTCTTCAGTCTCTATTTTAAAGATACTAGTATTTTTTGTTGTACCATTGTAACACTCAAAGTACAATGGCTGGTGACTTTAATCACTGAGCACTTATTATACTTACTCTTTTCACACTGTAACTACCACCAAGACAACCAAGAGCTTCAGATCTTTGAGCAAAGAATTCTCCTAAAGATAGACGTAAATAACTGGCATCATCTTTGTCCAAATCTGAAGTGCTAAGTGATTTCCTCAACACATTGTAATTGACTGAAGTTCCCCAGGATGTATCCCCCAGTGCGACTGAAGTGTTCTGGGCATCTATATTTTCTTCCTAGGAAGAAAGTTATTGTTTCATTTTATTTCCTCAGCAAACCTTCTTTCTATTCTTCTAAGAGGCGAGAAATTAAAAAAATTTAACTAAACAAATTTAAGAAAATTTTTAAAAATTGCACAGAAAATTTTGGACAAATTCAAACTTAAGGTAATGCAGTCCAGAAAAGAAATTCATTTTTGAATAACTGAGTTATTATACGTGTTGCTTTAACATAAAATCTATTCAAACACTGATTTTAATGCAAATCTTTAGAAAGAAGTACATCTTTAATAAAAACAGCATTATGTCAGTGTAAAATATTGTTAAAACTATTTGAAGCCTGTTTAGGCAATCTTTAATGAATTAAAGTTTTTCAGTATACCAATATTTTTCAATAATTCAGAATATAAAGGAAAAAGTAGAAATTACCAAAACATGAGAAAGTTGTTAATTCTACACTAACTATATATTCAGAAAGAAATATTTTGCCTACATTTAGATTTGTACAGGAAAAAATTGAAACTTAGGTTAATGTCAAAAAATTACAAACCTGCATAAATTGATGTTCTTTATTAAATTCTTCTTCATCTTGTGCAATTAACGCTAATGCTTCAGCTTAAAAAGGAATAAGTTTAAAAATAATTATACTAATAATTAAACGCTAGCATAGAAATATAACTTAGTTAGAAAATGATATTAAATAAAATTTTTAAAAAGGATGTGAGGCTTCCATCACATGACCAACACATCTGTACTAAGTATGTCAGTCTGTGGTGTTCAAACTTCTGACAAGGAACACTCTAGTGTGATTGAGTTCTTCATTTACAAACTTGCCCTAACTTATTAAAGGGTTTTTACACAATGTTAGCTTTTTATTTTTAAAAGATTGACATGAATTTTACCTTTTAAGAGCCTGGAACACCCAAGTTAAGGAACTCACACTAAATACCTGTGGAATTCTATCTGGAACAAACAGAATATCAAGCCTCTCAGTAAACTCATCATGAAGATGTATCCTGAAGTGCCCAGCCATGCACTTATCCAGGATGGTCCCAGTTAAGTGTCATATCCCAGAAAACCCCATCACCTGGCTAGACTAGGATAAGTGGTCACCTAGTATCTTCCTTTCAAGTTCCTACCTAAGTATGTTAGTTCACATCACAAAATGAACAACATTCTACTCACATGCACCTGGATACCATCAGTCTCTAGGCCAAGGCCACAGAATAAAATGACTCAAAGGTTAAGGGTAAATGAGCAAAGTGGGACAGGTGTGATACCAAAAGGGCTGGCTGCAGTGTGGCAAACTAGAAAACATAGAATTAAGAATTTTAGACATGTTGGCTAGTTAGCAGAAAAGTCTGCAGCATAGTCCTCAGACTATCTGTCTCCCATTATGACCCTTAAGCATAACGGGGAAGAGTGGAAAGCAACCTAGGAGGAACAGTCCTCTTGGGGCAACCAAGAGAGACTCCTCGTGCTTATTAGTCCATGAGGGGCAATCATATCCAAACAGTCCTCCATCAACAACTTGAGACACAAAATGAGAGTGGATAAGAATATTTCCTGTTAGAAAAAGGAGAACACTGAAGTGAGCCTAGGAGTCTTACTTGTTAGTGCTGTTTCTTTACCTAATGGAGCAATAATTTTTTCACATAAACACATTCTCAATCTAGAGGACTATGAACGAGCATTAAGAAAACCATGAAACTTCCTAAGTCATATACAAAACTGTGTATTTCTCTGCCCAAAAATAGAGGACTGGATCAAGAAGATGTGGTATATATACACCATGGAATATTATTCAGCATTCAAAAAAGATAAACACATGCAATTTGCAGCAACATGGATGGAGCTGGAAGGGATCATGCTCAGCGAAATAAGCCAGAAAGAAAAAGAAAAATACCGGATGGTCTCACTCATAGCAGGAATCTAGAAAACTTACATAAGGGACCAGGAAAAAGAATAACTATAAGAAAGAAAATATCAAAATCAACAAACAACTATGAACCAGAGACATTCTATGGGGGGGTGAGGGGTGGGGAAAGGAGGGATTGGGGTCAAAAAAAGGGGGTTGTAATTGTATGGGGAATATAAAAATAAAATTTAAATTAAAAAAAAAAAAAAACTGTGTATTTCTCACTGTTTTCTGTGGAGATTCTCTATAGGATCCATGACTCAAGTTAAAAACCACTGCCCTAAAATGTAAATCTATCAACTAACTACATGGAACAGCCAAGAGAGGGGATGTAGGAAATAGTCCATAAAGTAACCCAAGAGGAAACAATTTACCTTGATGAGTATCACATGGTTTTTAAACCATTAGGTTGACAACTCAAAATACTACTATATTTGTATTTACTTTTCCTCTGAACTTTAAGGGACTCTTCAGGTAAAGAAAACACCTTACAGTAATAATGTTACTTTGAATACTCATCAGAAATCAATCACAAATTATAAAAAAGCAGAACTTCATTTATTAAGAAGAAGCTATGTCAAATCAAAAACGATAGTTCTCTGAAATGTCACCTGAATGCTTTAATGGTTAAGTTTAAATCCTAGGCTATAAGTAGAGGCAATGTAATGCCTTATATATACGGAAGTATCAGAGAGGAAAAAAGGCAGAAATGGGAAGAGGAGCTCAGGTACATTTTTTGAATATAGTTTAAGTAGGTAAATTTTTATTTAAAATGACTTTGACATGTAATTATGACCTTGGCCCAATCTTCCCTATCTGAAGTATCTTCTCTTACATTTTCAGAATTCCCTTCCCCCTTTCTATAAAGACTCCTATTTCATTCATGCTTCCTGAACCCAATTTCCCCTTGATCTCATTCATTCTTTCTTTCCTTCCATCAAACTTTTAAATAGTTTTCCATATTCATTTTCTTCATTTCCTCACCACCCATGCTATATATCCTTTCCAATCTGGTTGGCTTGTTTTCTAACCACAAGAAGAGTTTCGTTAAATTCCTTCATTATTTGTTTTGTTTTCCTTTAATAACAAGCCCCGTGTGGCTCAGAATCCAAAGGTATATGTATGTATATTATGCTTCAATAAAGTTTTCAAAAGATGTGAGTATACAATACTGAAAAGTCTACCCAACACCTCATATCACAGTTTCCACACTCCCAGAGCAACCAATAAAGTACCCATGAAATTTGTCAAAATTTGAATGTTTGATTTATTTCAAGTATCTAGGGATTCCTGTAAGTGTTTCTTCTTTTTCGGTTTCTCTTTATAATGTATGTATTTACAAATACACGTGTGACCTCTCCTCTGCGATCTTTTTCTACGAATGCTGGAATATTTTATATACTTTTCTGTATCTTGGGTTTTAAATAATTTATCTTGGTGATCATTCCACATCTGTACCTCAAGAGCTCCTTTACCTTTCTTTGTGGCCACAGGGTATTTCCATGTATGGAATTTCATTTATCTTATTTACTTAGCCTATTTTGTACATCCACATGGCTTCCAATCTTTTGTTACTATGAACAATGTGAAGCAATAACTTCCACATATACCATGAACCACTTATGCAAGCATATATGAAGAATTGATACACAGAATGGGAACTGCCACACCTAGAGGCAGTAACTATAATACACTAAAATGTTTCCCTCACGTGCTTGCTGAAATATATCACCAAACTGATGGATTACTGCCAATTAAATATCTGAAATATAGTATTTGGTACTTTTGTTCTGCATTCTAAGAGTAGTAATGAACTTTTGGGATATTTTTAACATCCATTTTTATTTCCTTTTCTATAAATTGATTATATCTTTTAGCCAACTGTATACTGGGTGGGTGGTCTTTCTCTTATTGTTTATTAGAACTATTTACACAGTAGGAAAATGAGTTCTTAATCTGTAATATGAATTGCAAATATTTTCTCAGTTTAAACATTAATTTTTAAGAACTTTATACCAAAGCACCATAATTATATGAAAAACAATTATCAGTGTACAATTTGGATGAATTTTCACAATCTGAACATATCTGTGTAGCCAACACCCCAGATCAAGAAACAGAAAGTTGCCCCAGCACCCAAAGAGCCCTCAAGTGTCCTTCTCACCATTACATGAACCAATGGTTCCTTTCTCACTCTGCACAGCAGCGTAAATTTGAACTGTATATAAACACAACTGTACAGGACATTCTTAGTCTGCCTCATTTCATTCAGTATTTGTGAAATTCATGTCGTTGCAAGTAGCTGCACATCATTCGTCCCTGTGATATGTAACATTCCAATGTATGAATAAGCAATCAATTTTGTTGTTAGTGAGAATCTGGTAATTTACAGTTTGTAGCTAAAACAGCTGCTACATACAAATGCTTAGTATATCTGTCTGTTGGTGAATATATGCACCCTATATATACTCTTGGTATATACTCACGTGCAATAAAAATATAAAGTTCATAAAGTGTACCTTCACAAAATGCTACCAAAAAAGGTTTTCAAAGTAATTATATCAATTTATACTCCCACCAACACCCAAGAATTCCATGACCATTGATTTTAAGAGAAAAAGCCAATATCCACTGTGCAGTCTTCTTGTCCTTTTGATAAATCAAATTATCACTGAGCAAGATCTAACTAACTTAACCTCCAATTTCTGACATACCTCCAGATTGTAGTTTGAATATCCCTACTTCAAAGCACAATCACCCATAATTCTAAAATTTCTGACTTCTCCCATTTCAGTTATTTAACTTCCATTTTCCTAAGTAACTCAGACTACAAACCTCAATCTATCTAGGTACTCTGTTAGCCTCTGAAATTCAGTCATGAATCCTCACCATTTTATTCCCGTGTCTTTCATTACTTTCTTTTCATTTTCACTGATACCTAGAAGTCTACAACGTTCTACATCTTTCATTCAACTGATTATCACTGTCAAAGATGACTTGCAAAGCAAGTATTCAGTGCCTCCCTATTGCTTACCAAACAAGTTCAACTTTTTGGCATAGTAGTTAGTCAAAGCTCCAGCAACACCTTGGCCCTACTTTCCCTACCCAGCTTCATGTCTTATTATTTTCCCTTTCCACATCTTGCCATAAATACTAACCACTCTGGAAGTATTTACTATTCTCAAAACATGCCCAAGCTTCCCCATGTTATAAATGGTTTTTTCCATCCATTTGGAATTCCAGATGGCCCCAAATATCTATGCACAGAAACTTAATTCAAATATCACAAAAGAATGTGAAAATCATTCTCTCCTCGCCATTCATACAAAAGATATTTCCTCTCAAAATTTCAAAAGCATTTGGTTTGAATTTCTTACTGATGCTGAGTGCTATTTCTGTCTTATTCCTCTTAGCTGATGGACAGTTTCTTAAGAATTGGAAAAATGTCTCCTTTATTGCTGTATTTTCACATTATCAAATACTTAGGAGGAGCTTAGTACAAACAGCAGTTAGCTTCTTCTTCCACCTTCTGAGCCTATTAAAAACAAGACTAGGCTTGCCAGGCTACTTAGCACCTTTCTTCATTCCAGGTTTAGAGGTTGTTCAGGCACTATATGCCTCAGCAGCATAACTACACCTCCACAGAGTAAGTCTCACAAAAACTGAACCTGATTTTTACTCTTACTGTCCGAGGTTCTGCTAATCAACAAACCTAACTGATACTCCCAGTGTTCTCATCCTTTGAGATTTCATTTATCTTTCTGCTCATTTATCTTTCCTTCTATCATTTATGTATTTCTTAGCTTCACCAAAAACAAACCGGCTTTTGCACATTAACATTTAAGAGTATTTCTTTTGTTCAAGACTTAATTTAAATAGTGAGAAAGTAAAGCCTAAACTCTGAAGTTCTAAAAAGAAATGAGTGTTTGTATCACTGCTTAAGGAAAAGGTTTAGCTCATTCTGCAATGATGAACTCTGACTGACTCAAGTCGCTATTCTTAAAAAAAAAAAAAAAAGTGACAAGCTAAGTCTTCATATTTCAACAGGGATTTGATGTGGCCAACAAATATATAACAGCAATCTTAGTACACCATCAGAAACAATGAAAATGGTACAATAAAGTAGGTATGAATATACTTACAACCAGAACAGAAGTCTTCATTCATCTCATTAGTTAGAGACATGTTTAAAACTTGTTCATTATTAAAAGATGTATAATAGGCAAGGTCAGTAACCCATCTACCCTCTTCATTTTGATAGACCACATTCTGAGGAAGATCCACTTCTGAAAAAATTCCAAAAATATCCAAGGACACTTACAACAAATAAAATGACATAATATTCTTAATCTTATTCCATGACTTGTCTTAGTTATCAAGAACACTGAAATCTGCCAAAAACTATCAGAAAAAGAAAAATTCATCAGAAGTATCTCTCTGATGGTGGAGAAGTCAGTTTTAATCACAATAAAAGTCCACTGTGAAGAATGAGGACAAAAATAAAGAAAACTAAAATTGAGATACATTTCACTAGACATTTGAATAAAGATACAATTTTTTAATACATGAACACTTAAATATTTTAATGTTAAGGAATAGACAATTCTACTCATAAATATGTTCTATCAAAAATATATACTTATTTTTATAAATAACATAATAAAAGTATTAAATGTTAAACACTTTAAATATTAAAAATATATAATAATTTATATAATGATTTACTTAAGTTATATAATAAATTATATATTAAATTATATAATAATTTACTTTCATTTGAAAAAAAAAAACAAGAAGCCTACTTACGGTCTTTACTCTTTTCAATGGACTCATAAGATTCACATGTTCGCCTTTCACTAGTTGGTGACCGAAGACTATCCATGGAATTCATTCCACCGTGACTAACAGGCTTTAAAGATGCCAAGTCCACATTTTTTTTAATGGACACTTTAGATGTTTCAATGTCTATGCAACTATCCACAGGCAAAGCTGTTTCTGAGTCTAATGTCAAATGCTTGTTTTGATGAGGAGACCCAGCCACTAGTTTTAAAGGATCCATCAAGTCAAAATCACCCTTACTGGCATTTGTGTCATGAAAATAAGCAGGGTCACATTTTGTGTCAGTGACCCTGATAGTCTTCACGAAGACCAAAAAAAAAAAAAGAAAAAGAAAAGGAAAAGAAAAATCAATGACAGAACAGCAGTTTTGTTTTTCAAAACTTATTTAAAAATCTTATGGGAAAATACGTAACAGACTATATACGGTATTCATTGTTTTCTCCTAGACTATCTATGAACCAATGTCAAGCAAATTACCAAAACATTCAGATAACACTGTTCGCTTAAGTGCCAACGAAACCTATACAGCAATCTTTTTTTATGATAAGATGTATGATGACAAAGAGCCCCATAGACAATTTTTTTAAGTTAAATAAGGAAGAAGCTCTATACAAAAGAAAAGATGGGCCTCCTTAGTGACCTAGGAGTTAAGTCTCAGTGCTATCACCTCTACAGTCTGAGTTTGATCCCCACCAAGGGGGCTAACCAACATGCCCCAGCATATCACTCCTGTCTCAACCACTGCTCCCCACTCTGTCTCTGGTGAATCCTCTCACTATCCCCCTTTCCTATACCTGTGGCCTATACGCCAGTTCTTCTATGCATAAATAAATCTTAAAAACAAACAAACAAAAAAACCAGGGGGCCCTTCAGGTAGGAGGTCCTCGATGACTTGAAGGTCCACACTGCCTAGGTGCAGTGACTACGATTAGCCTTGCAGGCTTGTTCTCATCTTCCCGGCCCAAGGCCTCTCCCACAACCATGCTCCGCCAGATGATCAGTCAAGCCAAGAAGCACCCTAGCTTGATACCACTCTTCGTTTTTATTGGAGTGGGAGGTACTGGGCGCAGCGCTATGTCCTGCACCTGGCTTTGTTCAATCCAGATGTCAGTTGGGACAGAAAGAATAACCCAGCAAATTGGGTCCCAATGATCAATACAAGTTCTATTCAGTGCATTTAGATTACAGCAAACTGAAAAAAGAAGGTCCAGACTTCTAAATGAAATATTTCACTATAAAGCTGCTCAAAATGAAGCCATTGGCACAATTTTCCACTTAACCAGGAAATACTTCCCTCTAAATGTACGAAATCATGGTGGTGTATTCTGTAGGGGTTTACACTGATTAATAAATACATCTGAAACTTGGGGAAAAAAAAAAAAGATGCTGACTTTGAAATTAAAAAGTGATAGGCTTAAATCCTACTGCCATCGCTTATTAACAGTGAATTTGCCAACACTGTCACACAAATATAAACTTAAACCTCTACCTTATGCCAAAATAAATTCCAGATGGCTTAAACAGCAATGAGGTTGATTGCCGCCGAGGTAAAAGCATGCTGCTGGGGAAAGCACACCCAGCGCCATTGTTGCAAGACAGGGAATTGCAGGTCACGGACCCTATGAAACCTCTATGGAACTGAGAGAGGGTAGGTTTGGCACACGGGTAAGCTGAAAACTGCATGCGAACCAGGCCCTGGGGCCCTCTGCCATTTGGAACCAAGAGGGGGATCACCAACGAGGTGAGCTACAAGCACCAGGAAAGCGCACCCCTGGCACCATTGTTGCAAGATAGGAAACTGCAGGACAGGGACCTGAAGATCACCCTCTGGATCCAAGTAAATAGAGAGGGAAGGGATCTTCAGAGACAGCACACATCAACACATACACAGTACCACTGCCCTAGTGGAGTTTTGGTCTAACAGTGCAGGACTTCCTCTGGCGATGAGTTTCCGACATCCCTGGAGCACCCCAAAGAGATGCCCAGCAGAACCGGCGACACGGTGTCCGGAAACATAGAACAAATAAGGAAACAACAGGAAGAAGGAAAACTTCAAACAACCAAGCAAGCCCTCAGGGTAAGTACACACCACAAAAAGTAAGCCCTCAGGGTAAGGACAAAGAACTCAACAACAGTGACATGGAAGAACTCCTGTGTCTGCCAGACAGAGAATTTAAAATCATCACGATTAAAAAAAAAATAAAGATGAAAAGGAAAAGAATGATATGAGAAAAATAATGAACTGAACAATGAAATTGAGTCCCTAAATAAGGAAATGAAAGAAAACATAGGAGATAAAAAGATTAGTGGAGGAGCTAAAGAAATTGGGGGGAAAGAGAAGCAACAAAAACAAAATTGATGAAATGGAAGAACCAATCAGTACTCTTGAAGACAAAGAAATAAAAAAGAACTAAGAGAGAAAAGGATAGAGAAATAAAAGAAAAAAGAACAAAGAAAGACTTCAAGAACTATCTGACACCATAAGGAAAGGAAACATAAGGAATCCCAGAAGGTCAGGAGCAAGACCAAAGAACCAAAAAACTATTTAAGGAGATAATTGAAGAGAACTTCCCAAACATGACAGAGAAGATGAAAACAGACATACAAGAAGCTAGAAGACACCAAATTACCGCATTAAGGAAAACTACAGCAAGACACATAATAGTAAAGCTTTCAAGAGTCCAAGACAAGGAAAAAATAATGAAGCTGACAAGTGGGAAGAAACAGATAACCTATAAAGGAAAACCAATCAGGCTGACATCATAGTTCTCCGAAAAAAACACTACGGGAAAGAAGAGAATGGAGTGACATATTCAACAAACTCCAAGATAATAAATGCCAACCAAGAATACTATACCCTGTAAAGTTCTCCTTCCTCTATGAAGAAAAAATAAGGACATTCTCAGACAAACAGAATCTCCAGAAATTCATTACTACTAAACATCCACTCCAAAAAACACTACAAAAAGTCCTAAAGCCAAAACCAGCAGAGAAGTGAATAAGAACAGAATAAGGTAACGAATAAAATCACAAAAAGACAAACAAAATGGCAAATACAGATGCCAACATAACGTTATTAAACTAAACGTAAATGGGCTAAATTAATCAATAAAAAGACACAGAGAGGCAGGCTGGATTAAAAAACAGAACCCAACCTTCTGTTGTCTCCAGGAAATACATTTAACTACAAAAGATAAATATAGGCTGAAAGTAAAAGGATGGGAAACAATCCTGCAAGCAAATGGACCAAAAAAAGAAGGCAGGAACAGCTATACTTATGTCAGATAAAACAGACTTCAAACTAAAAAAGGTAAAAAGAGACATAGACTGTTACTACATTATGAACAAGGGAACAAAACATCAAGAAGACATAACACTCATCAACATATACTCACCAAATGAAGAAGCACCAAAATATATAAAACAATTGCTATTATCTCTGAGAAAAGATGTTAGAGAAAACACATATGTAGTAGGAGACTTCAACACACCACTCCCCCCAACTGATTGATCAATGAGACAAAAAATAAACAAGAACACTAGAGCTCTCAACAAGTACTTAGACCTCATAAGCTTAACAGCAATCTATAGAACACTGCACCCCCCCAAAAAAAAATGGAGTACACATTTTTAAGTGCACATGGATCATTCTCCAGGATTGATCACATACTGAGACACAACACAAACATCAACAGATACACTAAGATCGAAATCATACCAACTATTTTCTCTGACCTTAATAAAGATACCAAACTAGAAATAAACCATGAAAAGAAAGAAAGAAACCCTCCTACCTCATGGAGATTGAAGCCCACCCTACTAGATCATTGGATTAATGAGGAGATCAAAGAAGAAATTAAAAATTATGAGATGAATGATAACACAACTCTCCAGAACATATGGGACACAGCAAAAGCAATTATTAGAGGAAAACATATAGCTATACAGACTCACATAAAAAAGAAACAAAGTTCACAGGAAAGTTCAAAAGTAAGAACTCAAAGAAACAACCTAATCTCCCATCTTAAAGAACCAGAAAAAGAACAACAAAAAACCCAAAAGCCAGCAGAAAGGAAATAATAAAAACCAAATCAGAAATAAATGAAATAGAAGAAAACAATCCAAAAGATCAATGAAACAATAAGTTGGTTCTTCAAAAAAATAAAATAGACAAACCTCTAGCTAGGTTCACAAAGAAAAAACGGGAGAAAGCACAAATAAACAGAATCATAAATGAAAGAGGAAAATTACAACAGACACTGCAGAAATCAAAAGAATAACCAGATATTACTATGAACAGTTAAATGCAAATAAGTTCAACAATCTAGAAGAGATGGACAAATTCCTAGAACTATAAAATCATCCAAAGCTAGATAAAGAAGAAATAGAACACTGTTTAGGTGTAACTGAAAGAATTACAAGCAGTGTAACCGAAAGAATAATCAAAACTCTCCCCCAAAACAAAAGCCCAGGACCACATGGATTTACAAATGAATTCTACAAATGTTCAGAAATGAACTAGTGCCTATAATGCACAAACTCTTTCCAAAAATTGAAAAGGAAGGAATACTGCCAAATATATTTTATGAAGTGAACATTAACACTAATACCAAAACCGAACAAGGACATCACAAAAAAAGAAAACTACAGGATAATCTAAGGAACACTGATGCAAAAATCCTCAATAAAATCCTAGCCAACAGAACCCAACAATGCATCAAAAAGATAACACACCATGACCAAGTAGGATTTATCCTAGGGACACAAGGATGGCTAAACATCCAAAAATCAATTAATGCAATCCAACACATCAACAAAAATAAAAATAAAAACCGTAAGATCATATGAACAGAGCTGAGAAAGCATTAGACAAAGTTCAACATCCATTTATGACAAAGTCCCTCGAAATTCTCAGGATAGAAGGAACATACCTTAACATGACAAAGGCCATACGTGACAAACCCATAACCAATATCATTCTCAATGGTGAAAAGCTGAAAGCATTTCCCTTAAGATTTGGAACAAGACAAGGATGTCCACTCTCACCACTACTTTTCAATATAATACTGGAAGTCCTAGCCAGAGCAGCAAGACAAGAAAAAGACATACAAGGAATTCAAATAGGAAAAGAAGAAGTAAAACTACCACTATTTGCAGAGGATATAATATACATAGAGAACCCGAAAAGCTAATCAAAATAATCAATCAGTTTAGTAAAGTAGCAGGATACAAAATCAACAAAGATCAGTAGCCTTCCTACATGCAAACAATCAATCTGAAGCAGAAATCAAAAAAAAA